ATTTACATGACATGTTCGACTATATATAAAGAGTGGCAGAAATTCTTACCGTTCCCCGCGCAGCAGGGTGGTCTCTGCCGCCTCTGACCGTGCTGATAACTTCTTCCAGAGCCCTTTTGGTTACTGTGTCACCCCTGCAAACTCTTCAGCTCCAGGGTTTACCTAAAACTTCCATGGTTTCTGGCCTCGTGCCAGAGCTGCGTGTCTGTCACCACTCTGAAGTGCTGTGTCCTTTGGGCTGCCACTGCTTTTACCCTTTGAAGCAAATGCTTTTCTAGCCCCTCTTTTCCCTCTGCTCTTTCCCATCCCGTTGCGTCCCCCCAACCTCTGSACCCTCCCTGCCTTTTTGCAGGTCTCCCCCCCTGCACTCCCCGTTCCTTCCATTCGTGCTGTGACAGGTTCTCTTTCCTGTTCATTGCTCTCCTCTGCCAGGTAGAAAGAGTTAAATAAGAATTTATATCCGTAGGGCTTGTTTTTCTTCATTATTTTTAAGGACATTGGAAGATTTTGCTAAAGCTGCCATGATACTGATATGCAAGGGGTGGTCAGCCAGCTTCTTTGCCTGTGTATAGCCACGTAAACCCACCCCAAGGCTCCGAAACGCRTGTAGATGTGTGTGTGAAGGACCAGCGATGGTCACTGACCAGCACCAGGGCCCTGGGAATGCGGAGCCGAGGCCCTTTCTCCGTGGCTCCGGAGCCAGGCTGGTAGGCTCTGGGAGCGGGCGGGAAGGAGGTGCTTGTTCCCTGGGATGTCATTGGGATGGAGCCACACCAGGGAAGACTGGCTGGGCTGAGCTCATTTTCTGGCTAAAGCGAAAACCTCAAAGCGAAATCTATTGCTCAGAGCGTCCTTGGAGATGGTGAAGCTCAATTAAGGCTGCAGGTTCGCAGACTAATGCGTGTTTAATTTTAGTCTGAAAATGTGTCTGAGAGGAGCTGAGCTCAGTTTCCCGGGCGAAGCTGGCACAGCGAACGGAGATGTTGACTGACGGGAGCTCTTCAGTTGTAGAGGGTTGGCTGGAGAGCGTAATTTCMCACCTGCTCAGTAGTTCAGGACCTGATTTTGGTCTGCTATCCCTAAAATCAGTAAWTGAATAAATAAATAAAAGGAATAATGATTTCAAGCAGGGCACTAATAGCAGCCCGACAACACCATCACATCATCGTGTGACATCAGAAGTCGATGCTCTTTCGTAAACATTTATGACTTCTTTTCATGTCAGTGTTCTGCAGAGCAAATAAAAGGAGGCCTGGGAAGGGCCTGACGCTCAGGCTTATCCTGGGTGTGGGAAAAAGTGCAGCAGAGAGGGGTTTTCTGGCTGGTAGTCACCTTGTGTAATGATCATGTTGCCTGTCATGACAACCAGGGCCTTGCCTCATCCTTTCTCTTCCCCTGCCCATTTTTCTGCAATCTTTACTGCAAATAGTGTGGGACGGACTCCTCCCGTTCGACCTATTTGTGCAGGACCGGCAGAAGGGACTCTCAGACCCTGTTGTGTACACATAATACGGGAGGGATTTCTGTAGTTTACCTGGTACTTTACAGGAAAATCCAGTCTCCAAAAGCCTCATCCACTTCTGCAGAAAGCCCCTGGAGATCCTGGGGAYGAAGCTTTTCCTTGCAGGCGGCCTCACATGCTGTGGCTGAGCAGCAAGTCTCAAGCAGAGCTGTAGAAATCAATAGTGCGGAACGGAAAGGCTGCGCTGTGGTCATTAAAGCAGAAAGCACTAATTGCTTCCGTCTTTTAGAGGTGCTGCTGTCAAATGCAAGAACTTTCTGTCAATAATTGTGCAGGAAGCAGCGTGGAAAATACTTAGGTTTTGTCAAGATAGGACAGGTTTAGATTGGGAGAAAAGGTTTAGATTGGGATCGCCTCTGAGCATCAAGTTTGTCGTTGCTTTGGGTTCACGTTTCAGTTCTCCGGCCCTTGGAGACCTCTCCAGGATGGGAGCAAGGTCCTGTTTCCTGTTCTTTGCTCCCTATGGATACGTGGTTATTCTGCCGGGTGAGTTGCAGGTCTGAGTTGCTGTGAGCCAGACCCATAGCAGATGACTTGGCCAAAGCTAATTCTAAGATTAAAATATGCGGAATTGGGAAATATGTTGTGGAAAAACTTCATCACCAGGCAGGGCAAATGGTCGAGAACACTGAGCATGGGATTCCCTTGGCATCCCATCTTGGCTCTCTATGGCCTTAATGGAGTCCAGGCTCCTAGCAGCAGGAGAGGCAGAGAAAAAGGGAATTCATGGCTCCAGGCTCATTTTTTCCCCCCTTTTCATGCCCTGTTTTAGCTTGGGGCAGGAGCCCGGCCTGCTCTGCACCGCGCTGCAATTGAGGCGCTGGTGCCTGCAGGGCAAAGCCACGTGTGGGAGGGAAGGTCATTTTTAATAGCGCTGTCAAAAGGTCATTTTACTGAGAGACATGTCGTGAGAACTGGAAGGCTGAACTTCCAGGGTTTGTAGGAATGTTTGCCTTGCTGGAGATGGGAGTTTATGCCTCGCATGGAGCCCTGGGAGACATTAGCAGGAAATGTTTGGTTTTTCCTGGCCCTGTTTTCTGTTCCCTGCTTCCCAGGCGCGCTCTCGTTTTCGGAGGCCTGCAGGCCTCCCAAATGGAGGAGTTTGCAGGAATAAATTGTTATTAAAAGGGGTGTTGTGGTGACCATTGGGCAAAGAGAGGCAGCGTGTCTGTGTTACAAAGAAGGATGAATTACACAAAAAGCTGTACTGGCAAAAGGTGCTGTCAGCAGTGCTTGTGTTTTTTTGGCATGCTGCTTTTCCCCTTCATTTTCACTCTTTTGCCGTCTCCTGTTTCATTATTCGTGCAGTTTTCTCAAAGTTTTGCATTACTTTTTTTCCTTTTCTGGCAACTCTGCAGCCTCTCCACTTCAGGCAGCCAAGAGCTACACTCTGTCATTAAAAAGTTTATTTTTTCCCCTCAGTATCTTTCTTCTTTTATGACTTTAAAGACTTTTTCCTCCCTGCATTGCAGCAGTCAGGGACTGAAGCGAAGCCCTTGAGTTCCTAGTGAATTTCATCCCATTCTCCCAACTGTTCTCTACAGTCTGCTGGGATTATATGACTTTTCCTTTCATCCTTCACCTGACTGCAAGGCCTGCAAAGCCACATCATCAGCCCGCATTAAAAGCACGTTATCCCCTTGGGCATTTGTGTCTTTGGTGCAAACAGTTGGAGCGCTGGATGCCCAGAATCTGCGCCAGGGTCTGGATGGAGCCCTGCTGGTGGACCCTGACCCATGGATGGATGGCTRTTCCCATGGGATGGCTGTTCCTGTGGGAGCTGCCCTATCCTCTAGTTGTCTTTTCCCTTTCCAGCTGTTATCCACACGGGCAAATGCTGCCTCTGGATCCAGCCACGTGAGGACTCTGCCTTTCCTCAGGAAAGAAAGAACTAGCTAAAGGAAAAGCTGCACGGAGGTGTGGGGCCTGCTGTGCTGCTCCGTGAATAATCATTACAGGCRCCAGTTAATTGCTCACCCATTAACTGCCGGTGAATCCAGCCCGTGCCTGGCCCGGCCTCGTCCTGCAGGCGCCGTGTCTCCTCCAACGCCACCCGGGTGTTATTTATTTCTGTAGGAAACGATGTGCGCGCCCCGTGAGACGATGTCCGGCCCTGAAGGGCTCTCTGCTCTGTGCGGAGGTGGCAGGGCCGCCAGCCCCTGCCGTCCTCACCCGAGGAGGGGACTTCATCTCCCAGAGACAAACCTTGTTGATTCTGGACTCACTTTGGGATATGAGAAGGATTTGACCCATTTTTTCTTCATTCAGATTGATGTAGGAATGGATACTTCTTTTTTTTTTTTTTTTTTTTTTTGGAGGCTGATGGTTTTTAACTTGTTTTTAGGCTTAAATGATACTAGCCTTACGTAGTGATGAAATTAGGTACTGCTTTCAAGAGAAAATGACAATAAGGAACGTTCTTTCAAAAGCAGCTAAACACATGAATTGCTAAAACGTTAAATTATTTCCAAATTGCAGCATATCCAGCACTTTCTAAGCGCCTCATTAAGAATAATTGCACTGTGCTTTCTGCAGGATTTAACATCAGAAATGTTGTACAGTTGGGGGCGGTTCTTCTTTGTTTTTTGCTTTTTAATCGTTCTTTCACACAATGAGAGTTTCCCTGAGCTTTCCTTGCGCTGAAGGGTTGCCAGTTTGCCCCATCCATACATTTCTGCTGTACTGTCCTGCTGTGATGCTCGTTACAGAGCAGAGCCCAGAGGGAAGAGACGTTTGGATGCCCAGGGGATGGAGCGGGGCTGAGTTCAGGGACCAGCAGCTTCTCACCCGGCTGCAGAGCCAGGCCCAGCAAGAGTGGRGATGTTTTGCAAATGGCATATAATAGACAATTAGATAAATAGGCAAATAGATATAGTAATGAGTCTGGGTTTTTTTTCTCCCCCATTTTTCTCCCAACTATCACTTTCTGAGTGGATTTTGTCTCTATACTGCCGGAACTTGGAAGTGAATTAGGTGTGTGCATTAGGTGCAGGATTGGCCGGACATGAAAATGATCTGTGCTTTATCTCTTTATTACATAGCATTGTCATTAGAGCATTTACTGAAAGGACCGGCGGGTAGGTGTAGCAGACTGCTTGCTTTCCCTTTGAGATCAATATATGAGGGTGCTCTTAAGCCACAAGCAGACCYATAGAAGATTCTCGTAGCTGAAACATGAAATATTGAGTATTTTCCATATGAATCTTGTGGTCCGTGGAATGAGAGGATTTTTTTGTATTGTAGCCTGAAGCTGCCTTTGCTTTTCTGCTCTTTCCCAATGGCCAGGCAATGCTTTGCTACAGCTGGAGGGCTAAGTATTTTGTAATGGACATAGAGGATGGGGATGGCTCAAATGGGTGTGGGGTTGGAGAGAAGGCTGCTCCACACACTGCTTCTGGATTCCTTGGACACTGCCAGCCCTGCAATTTAGAGCACTGCAGCAGTAGTGGTAACAGTCCTGCCCCTTCCTCTCGTCCAGCCCCCCGTGGCTTCACTGTGCCCGTGCTGGAGATGTCCCTGAAGAGTGACCGGCAGGTGGACACCTCGACGCTCAAGAGGATCGCTGCAGACATGAGCAATATCATCGAGAGCCTGGACACGAGGGAGCTCCACTTCGAGGGGGAGGAGGTGGATGCGGAGGTACTGAGTGACCCCAAAGCCGCCGGTGAGTTAATGGCCCAACATCTGCACCATAGGGGTGGCCGGGGTGGCCAGGACATGGGCGCTCCCAGGAATGTGGGATTGGGCCTTCACAGCAGCGTTTCAGCATGCAGGTCCTTTCTCCTGCTCTCTTGCATGACTGTGCTTCAGCACTTGGTGTTTACATCTGTGCTGAGGAGATGGCAGGGATAACTAGCCTGGTGCGTGATGTTAACATGTGAAACGGCAGTGGTTTCTGCCCAGTCACTAACTCTACTTTAGGCCTGGGGCGCATAATTCTTCCTACGTGAACTCTTCAAGTCAAATGACTTCTTTAAGTGATCACTTTTAACATTATGGAGGTTTAAATAAAACCTGGTGTAGTAAAAATAAACACACAAGGGTCTAAAGTGTTCCACTGTCTTCTGGCTTTTATGTCTTTGCTGATGGTTTAAAATGCTGTTAACGGGGATTTTATGATTTTTTTTTTGTAGTGAGCATTCCATTCTCTGCAATTTATCACACACGTGGATTCAAAGAGCCAGATGTACAGACGTATCTCAAGGGCTGCCCTATCAAAGTGCGTGTTCTGGAAGTTGAACGTTTTACTTCAACAAGGAAGGTCAGAATCTATACTCAAAGAGATGTAACTTGATATGCCTAGGACTGTATAAAAGTGGGGTAAAAAAACAGTTATGGGCTAAAATAAAGTTATAGGCTAATTTTGTTCGTGTCTGTTCAGGAGTTTAGGAAGTAAGAGGCTCAGAAAAACACATAGAATATTTATAAAATAGAGAAAAATAAAGAAATTGTAAGAAGTAGTGATCYATAAGTAAAATACAGTGAGGAATCTGTAGACGGTCTGCTAGAAAACTACTGCTTTCAAAGCTGTAACGCTTCTGTTATTCTTTTGTGCAGGTACCAAGTCCAAATGTTTACACTATTGAGTTAACACATGGAGAATTCACATGGCAAGTGAAGAGGAAGTTCAAGCACTTTCAGGAATTTCACAGGGAGCTGCTGAGGTACAAGGCGTTTATGCGGATCCCGATCCCAACGCGGAGGTGAGCACACAGCCCTGCAGCTGGGAGCGTTTTGGAAAGATGCAATTTTCTTTTTTTTTTTTTTTCTTTATTTTCGTTTTCCTTTTTTCCATCYGGATTGATATAGTGATCTTGTTCACTTTTATGTAAGTAGGAAGCAAATGGAGGAAAAGTGTATGCAGTTTCTATAGAGTTAACAGTCATAATCTAAATTWTAGAATCTCTCTGCTGACTCAGGTCTCCTGGCTCACTGGTGTTGAGCAGAAGTTCCCTTGAAATCAGGCCTGTTGCTAATGGAAACTGTTGGCATAACGTGGCTTGCTGCCAGGATGGGCCAGATGTGGGAGACACAGACCTCTGTGCTGTGCTGCAGGCCCTTGATGTTCTGGGGCAATGAGGAGGTGTTTGGGAAGAGATCACACGTGGAAAGAGGCCTGAGGCTCCACCACCAGTCTTGCTGGGTGGGTAGAAGACATAGGGAAAGATAATATTATAAAAGGTTAAGAACTAGTGGAGCATGATGGAGAAGAGGGTTTCGATTCTGTTTCCTTAAAAGGGTGAAAGGGGATCTGTATCCTGTGGGGTTTTCGAGTTGTAGTTTTGTTTGTAAGCTGGTTAGAAGACTGATTTCTGAATGCTTCCTGCCCACTTATCTCTTGTTTTTGAAGAGTTTAGATGGAGAAAATAAAAGCATTGAGCAAGAAGAGTTACATATCAAGGAACGTACTCTCAGTGATTATAAATTGACTTTTTGTTCTCTTGTTTCTCCCCAGTCACACGGTGAGAAGACAATCCATCAAAAGGGGAGAAACCCGGCAGATGCCGAGCCTGCCGCATACCTCGGAGAGCACGGTGCGAGAGGAGCATTTCTCCAGCAGGAGGGTAAGCATCCCTACATCCCCCTGCATTGCAGAGGTGCTGCTGGGGGGTCTGACTTTTGCTTCGTGGGCAGGCAGTTCATTTGCAAAGCCACACTCTGTCAAATGTCCTTGCTTAATTACCATTAAGTTATTTTGCTTGACAAACATCRATGCTGCAGAATCCAACTCTGAGGCCAGGCTCTCCTGCTTGCAAGGAGGACACTGCTCGCGGGGTTAATATGGGCAAAGACTTCCTCTGCAGTAGAGGAAAGCAAAGATGCACGGAAGGGCAATTGCTCTGCTCTGGCCTGCTCCAGATTACACATAGAATTTACAGCTCCCAGAGTCAGGTTGCATGATGGAGGCAGCACAGTGGCCATCAAAATCTGAGAGATTTCAGTCCTGTCCTCCTCTGAAAGAGGAGATGACAATCAGGCTTTTAATTCTGAAATGGGTAATTCTAGATGAGGCCCATGTGCTGTATGGAATTGTATCAGATGTTAACAGATGCATCCGTGTATGAAGAGTGTAGCTTCTTCATTGCAGCTTTACTGTTTGCAAAAATGATTCTGTAAAGAGATGTTCTTTGATCCTGCGCTTGCCTTTTCCAGAAAAGAACTTTACTGTTGTTAACTCCCTTCCTGACCTTCATTGTGGGAAACTTCAAGTCCTGAAAGTTTGTGTCTCCTAGTTGTACAGTGCAGGATAACCTTCCCTTCTGAGCAAAGCTTGGCTATTGTGCAAGAATTTTAGGAGAGAGATCATTATTTAAAATGGGAGGAAGAAAAAAGAGCTAGCTAGATACTTTTCTTTTAGGTTTCCTTTTTCTTACTCTCTTCCCCCCAAAACACACATAGCCTTTATTCATGGGGTTATATATCACTGCTACTCACCTGAATGCGGTATTGTCATGCTAACATYCAGACAGAAAAGTCCCAATTCCATTTGTTTTTCTTTTTGCCTCATTTCCTCTGACACCCAGTTTATTTTTGAGACAGGAGTGGCCTCTGTTTGCCACCCCTGTAGGTTAAATGTTGTGCTTTCTCTCTGGAGCTGAGTCTGTAACCATCCTGTTTCCCAGATCCAAAGAGTTTAAGCTCTTCTTTGCCCAGTTACCATGAGGACAGGGAGGAGTCATTTTCCTGTGATAGGACTGTTCCTTTYCTTAACCCCTGCACATGGGGATGGCAGGTCCTCCAGTGCCTGTTCTCTGTGGCTTTAGGACAGGAGAGAGCAGTAACTGTGCTCTCCATGTCACACCAGGAATCTGACATTTTGCTTCAACAAACTCTCAGTTGTGTCTGTGTTTTCTCATAAAGGTAATTTGTGTTGTCCAGAAACAGCGGGGCCTGATTTTATATTTAAAGTCACTTTGAAGGCTGGCCCCAGTCAAGATAGTAGACTTCTAAAATTACAATGCAAAGAAACAAGTCAGCTGATGTAACAGATCACAAACTCAAATCTGTGAACAGTAAACAATTTATAATCCAGCCATTTATGCCATTGAGTAATAATCTTCAATAAGAACATAATAATAGGTTTATCCTTTCAAGCTGAAAAGTGTTTCTGATCTCTAGATAACCTTCTAATGCTAGACAGTTGGTTTTTTTTCTTCAAAATTCCTGCATCCCAGCTAAAGTTCTCCATGTTTCAATTATAGAAACAGCTGGAAGACTACCTGACAAAGATCCTAAAAATGCCAATGTACAGAAACTACCATGGAACAGTAAGTAGAAATTAGAATGAATTAAGTAGCAAAAGAATATTCTCTTTTGTTGCAATGTTGAACTGATGACAAACCAGTTGAAGTCCTGGAGCTTTTTCTCTGACATATCAGAACCGTGTCAGACATTTAGTAGATGTTTTGCAGGCTCAACTGAGTTCTGCAGTGTGGATGTAATATAATGTAAAGTTAGGGAGTGACTGGCTCAGACTGGAACCATTTGAAAGTCACTATTACAATTCTGGGATAACCTGCAAAAGGTGGTTCCATCAAAAGAGCCGGTTGAACATATAATGTTCAGTTCTGGGTAGTGTTTAAGAAAATAAATCGGTGTTTTAAGTACTTGAATAATTGGAGTCCAGACCGTACAGGCAGCCTCTCCTTCAGCTTGGGATTTCTGTGTRATCCTGGGGTGGATCCGATTTCAATGAATGTGATGCATGTTGAGTTTATATGAATGATACCCACTTTGTCATTTGCAAAGAATGAGGATAATTGATTATTCTCCCAAATGTMGAGCCTTTTGAAGTGATGTCAGATCCATCTTTTGACCTATTTTAAGCAAAAATATTTGTTTTGAAAGCTATCCTTAAATATTTCTTCAATAGCCCTCACCTGTCAACTGAATCTGTAACATCTCCCAGGGATGGTAACTTACTGCCCATTTTGTTGGCTGCTTAATGACATTATTACTCATCTTTTTGTATCGTCAGCAAAACCTGATTTCTTTGGGTAGCTGCAGCACTTAGTGAAACTTCTGAATCAAATGTGATAATTAGGAGTACTTGGTTTGAAAACCAATGAGAAATACAAACTAAGCTTAGGATATCTAAAGTAGCCAGTTCTTATTTGTTTGTTTGTTTTTCTAGAAATTGTGTTCTTCAAGTCTTAGGCAAGATTTCTGTTGTGCAAAGACACTGGACATCTTTCAGCTGGTAGTTACTCTCTAATTCTGTGTGTGCTCTTGTTTGAAAGCTCAGCGTGTTGAACATTCTTAGTTACACGAGAGAATCTCCTCACCCAGTACTGGCCGATGTGCTTTGTGCTGCAAAGAAAAAGCCTTCAGACTCAGACTGAGAGCATCTCTTTTTCTTATAGAGTGGTTCTTTGGGGGCCTGGCTGCAAAGCAGCTCTGCTGAGTACAGTACAGTCAAGAGTTGTGTTAATCTGCATGTGGGAAATAATCATCTTTTGTTCTCAAGGCAAGACGGTGGTAACTTGGCAATTTTGATGAGTGGCAAAGCAAGACCCAGTTTACCATATAGATGCATCTTATCACTCTTGGGCAGGCATTGCTTTTCCAGGCATTTCTGGCAGTTTCTCCTAGAAGAAATAATTCTGTTGAACTTTTGATTGGGTTGTGGTTGGAAGCAAACCATGGTCATTGGGATGGAGGAGGAGCAAACCTGCGTTCCCCTGGCTCCAGAGCAGCTGTGGGCCCCTTGCCTCCTGCACTAAATCGCCTTCTGTCCCCAGCCCTGGGGCCAGATGTCACTTTGCACATAAATTCTGCATTTACCCCTTGTCTCGGGGCTGGCTGCAGTGAAGCAGTCAGTGAGAACTTCACTGCTAGTGCCAGCTGCACTTCTTTTATTTTGTATTTGTGGTTAATTATTTTTTTTCTCAATAGAAGATCTTGAAATTATATACCATCTTTTCATGGACATGACACATTCTGGAAGAGTTTTAGGCTGGAAGTGTTTTGCAGACCTGAAATCCTTGGCGAGTTAAGAATCCCCTAAGGACTGTGCAGCTTTTGAGCGATCCTTCATATAGCCTGGCTAGATGACTCTCCTGCARTCTCTCAAAATGGGCTATTCTTAAGCATCATCATCTAGAGATGGAACAAGTGTCCTCTGCTTTGACTATTTAGCTGTGAATGATAAAATTTACTACCTTCTGTTCATGTTTCCCTTAATTTGTGCTCATCCTTGCAACATATTATTTAATATGGACTTCACAAAAGGGGATTATAAATGTGTTATATTTTGTTATCAGAACCTAGACTTTATAACCTTTCTTTCCTCCCTTTTGGCTATGTGAATTGTGATTAAATCTCACATCTTCTAGTCCAAACCTTTTTCATAGTATTTTTGTGCTAACGTATTCAAGACAATTACTATCCAAATGAGTGTTGTGGAATCTAAATGTGTTAATAGTCCACACTTACTCCGGGAATTGGAAATTGGGGGAGTGTAGTCCAAATACATCAGGAAATTGTGCCCACGGGCTTGACTGAATTCAGAGCAGATTAATTGTGCCGTGGCATCAGTTTGTGTGTGAGCAGCAGCAGCTGAAAGATGCCTAAACCAAGTCAAAGCCAGCCTCTGGCTGACGTGCAAGATGTGTATGTTTATGAAATTTTCTATGAGCTTAATGGAAAGAACCCGAAAGCCTCATCTCAAGYAAAAGAGCTACAGTGTGAGAACAGCGGGGATACGAACGTGTGGCTGCTGCTCTGCCTGGGGTCTGCTGCTGGATCTGCAGGCCATTGAGAGACCCCCCCCAACCCCTCTGTATTTTTGATTATTGGATTTGATCCGCAGTGAGTATTTGTTACATTTGGGGTTAGGATGCCACTTCCATCTGGAAGGAAGAGCTGGCAACTTATCACTGAACAGTATTCTGAGCAAAGCTGCAGTTTTATTGTGTTCTTGACCACAGCTGCCATTCAAGTACTTGTTTAGGTGGGTTTGTTGCTGGTGGTATTTGCTTTTTAACTGCTGAGTTCAAAATAAGAAGTGAAGTAATAAATAAAACAGTGTGGAGCTGCTGTTTTTTTTTCCCCCTGAAATGCAGCTGCTTTATGAGCATTTTGCTTAAATAAATCATGCATGCCTTGCATTGCTGGCAGAATGTGATGGCTTAAAATTGCAGCTCATCTACCTTGCAGCTGGTTCTCCACCTCTCCTAGCTTATCTTTCTTCAGCTGATCAGTCGTGCCTATTTTTTTTTATTGCTACAACAATGTCATTGAAACTGCATTCTCTAGCCCCATAGCTCATCCTCCAAACATTCGGCTGCAGCTCACTTTGAAACCAGAGTGGGATGTCCTCTCAGCAGGGAGGCAGCTGGGCAGCATAGGAATTCAGATGCGAAAGACATGAAAGTGCATCACCATTCCCATTCCTCTCTTTTTTTTTTTTTTTTTTTGTGAATTTATAAGCACCTCAGATGACAGGCAGCATAGCCGTAAAAATAGCTAATGCAGTAATAATAATAATAAATGACTTAATCAGATACTTTCCAATGCGCCGAGGGATTTTCCTCGTAACTGGTAGAATTTTTTTGCAAACCAAACCCCCAGACACGCTTACTGCTCTGCAGAGAAATAACCTGCTTGGGGTATGTGTGATCATTTGCACCAATGAAGAGAAGCACCAGTGAAGAGAGAAGCACTCTCTTTTGCAGCAGAGCCACGGAAGCACAAGGCAGGGGAGGTGAATACCCCAGGAGTGTGGTCACCACCGAGGCCCTGCGCACCGAGGAGCCTGGAGTGCTGGGTTTAATTGGCTCCTCTCAGTCAACTCAGTAGATGGGACGCATGTTGGATAGTGTCCCTGGTGCCACAGTCACCATTTTAAAGACTCATTTGTTTAGGAAGAAGTTACTGCACCAGCAGACAGTTTTTCTTTTTTCCTGTTATTTTTTTCATGCAGTAGTAGTGCAGTTTCTGGGAGCAAKTCTCCCGTTCCTGGATTTTCCTCTCCTCCTTCAGGGGTAGTTATTTCACTGCACACGGTGCTGCACAAATTGCTGCCCTGCAAATGTTTTCGAAGGCCTTTGACATCTGTGCACAGTTTTGTTTGTGTGCAGCATGAGAGGTATGTCCAGTGCTCTGATTTTCCTCTGCTGGTGGATGCCGGGGAGGTCCGAATCTGGGCGTCATCCTCAGAGCCAGATGAAACGTTCGTCAGCCAGGACTGCTGCTTTTCCAGAACATACAGTGAGAAACGGTGATACCAAGACAGTTAGTAAAAGCAGGAAATAATKTGTTCTAGCCACTTTCTGAAAACACACTGAAATTGCCAAAGAATGAGGGCATAGATTCAGTTCTTCTAAGTAGAGGTTACTTTATATCCTTGAGCTACTTGCAGGAGAAYAACAGGTTCTTTGTTCTTCTCTGTGACCTTATTGATGTGGTGAGAAGTTTGGGTAGGTCCCAGAACGTGCAGAGCCTGAGGAGAAAGAAGGATCTTTTCCTCTCTCCTGCCTTCTGGAAGCAGAGGGAGAAAATATGCCAGGGGAAGGAGGCCTGAGCCCCTCAGGGTGACTGCAGAGGAGGCTTCTGTCCTGGAATTGCCTACATTTTTTGTTATTTTTAGTATTTGAAAGTCTCTCTGAGGCTTTTTTTTCCACCTCACACACTGTGCACARTTTTGCACACATTACACCTTCTACAGTGTAATTGCTGTGCAAAAACTGGAATTTCCCCAAGATAGTTGAGAGTCTGGTTTGTCAGGAAGCAGGTGAGAGCAGCCGCTCAGGTGAGAGACAGAAGATGCTGTTGGGATTGAAGCTCCCCTGGGCTCGAGCAGGCAGGGGCAAAGCCAGGGCACCTGTGCTCCGCCAACTCCCTGTGCCACTCCGTTACTGTCACCAGGGTGGATCYGGTCCTGGACTTTGCTCCTGGCAGCCTCACCTGCCTAATGACTTATTTAGACTGTTCRCTTTAGCTTTTACCTTGATCAACACGGAAAACGAGCCCCAGCGCTCAGCCTGCCCCTCCTGGGTGTCTCTCTGCACTTTGGCCCTTCTGCGTGATGGGAAGCTGAAGAGGCAGTTGTCCGAGCGCGGGCAGCCCTCAGCCCCGCTGCCTTCCGCACGCTCCGGGCCCGGCAGGACCTTCCCGCCAGCTGCGCCCCCGGCTAATGAGCAGCAGACTGTGGGGAATGTCCCTCCGTGCCAAGGAGAGCCGGGCCATCCAAACCGCGCCACATCCTATCTTTGGATTGGGATGGCATCATCGCTTTGTCACTCGCTTTGCTTATCTCTAGATTCCTCTGTAATCTAAGCTGATAAGTGAAACTGTGAGGAGTCTGGTTAATGAAGTTTGAGATTTGTTGATTAAACCTACATATTGTACGTTTTCACTGAGCAAAGTGTTTTGTGGGTTTCTAACTATGAAGGATGAGGGAAATCCTTATGCCTTTTGTTTTTTCCCTGTAGATGGAGTTCATTGGTGTAAGTCAGCTGTCCTTCATCCATGACCTAGGACCAAAGGGCATGTATGTTATGATTTGATTCCTTCTCAGTTAATGTATGAAGAATATGGTTTTATAAACAACTACTGCTTAAACTGAGAATTTTCCTTTCTTACTGCAATTGCCTAGATTGTCATCCATGCATCAAAATACATCAGTGTTCCCACAACCTTGGGAAATTCCTGGGAGAAGGAAGGGGGCAAAAAGCAGCARTTAGGGGAGAAGGGTCGGTCGTTGGGCAAGATGTTGGGCCTGGCTGCTGAGGCCCCGAGGAGGCTGGTGTTGGGAGGACAGGGGTGAGGACGAGGCCGGGGTGCTGAGCTCAGGGCGCCCCTCTTGGAGGGGAGGCAGCGTCAGGGCTGGAGCAGGGCCCGTGGGCAGAGGTTGGAGGGATCCAGTGAGCAGCYGTAGATCCGGGTATGCCCTGGCCCCAGGGAGCTGTCCCAGTGCAGGCGGGAGCTGCACCGTCCCGTGAGCCCTTTCCCACCGTCTTTACCAGATTCCTGCTTGTTTCAGAGAAGGTTTGATCATGAAACGCTCYGGGGGGCACCGAATACCCGGTCTGAACTGCTGCGGCCAAGGACGGATGTGCTATCGATGGTCCAAAAGGTACTGTGGGGCTGGGAGAGGGGCTGGTGTTTTGTGCTCCCCAGGCACACGTATAAAAATCCACATTTTCCATTTCTCCTAAAGATTTTCCATTTCTCCTAAAGATATCTGCAAGTAAAATTCTTTCTCCTTTACAAAAAGCTACAGGTCTTCAGGTGAAAAGAGACCGCAGATTAATCCCCTGCTGTGTAGAAGATGCTGGATTTTTTCTTTTGCATTAGGATTCATAGCAGAACCAGACGTATTCCCGAGGAGACATGGGACTTATAGCCACAGGCTGGCAGAAAGCAAAATAATCACCTGATTTGTTTGCAGCTTTCTGTGCTGTCCTTGTGCCAAGGGAATCTGTGCTTTTGGGAGGGGAGGAGGAGAATTTTCTGGCTGGATTTCAGCTTAGTTTTCTGAGTTTCCCTTCCTTGATTTGCAAAGAGAAAATCAATTAATTGAAACATAGCCTGGATGGCTACAGAGCCCAATTAAATCAGACGTGAGCCACAGCCAGAAGGAGCTCTGCTTGCTATAGTTAGCCTTAAATTAAACACATCGCCTCATCCCGATTGCCACACGGGTCTGAAACGCGGCTGTCCCTACGGAACCTTTCTCAGCCTCCTCATTCCCGCATCCCTTCCCGTTGCAGGCTGAGATAATTCAGCCGTCGTGTCCTCCAGCAGCGGAGCTGATGGCTCCAGCCGGATCCAGCTGCCTCCGAGCAGAGGGAAGTCTGGGCACAGGGATGCAGACAGGGCTGGGCTGCTGGAGGCCTCCCCAGCGAGCAAGGACGGGTCTGCCCAAAGCAAAGRGCATCCTCTGCTGCAGGAGCAGCAAAGCTAAAGGTTGCATTGGGACCACTGTATTTTGCTGCAAGTTGTGCGTTGCTCTCTGTGGAAAATCCCTTGTTTTGCACAAATGGTTTTGCTGGCAGCAAAGCTGGTAATTGGTACACGTAGCTGGATCCCAGGGCTGCAGTGTAAGGGAGGGAATATGCATTTGCATTGAATCTTCCTCGCCTAAAAGCATGAAAGAATTTTCCATGCACTAACAAACGTGGTATCTTTTGCCTTGCAAAGGTTTGTGCATTTCAGACTGCTTTTCATTATCTTTGCATTTTATTTTGTTCCAACTCCCAAACCAGTAACTATGTGGTAGAGAATCCAACCGATTCACCTGGTATTAGGCGAGCTCCTCTCTCTGTCTGTGAAAGGATTCTGCACTTTATTTCTCCTTGCTGCCAGTTATTGGGCAAATCTTTCMTTTTCAAATGCAAATAGCACATATTTGCCATTTAGTAATAACTTCTTTGTCTGAGAGAGCTTCCCAAGCCAGTAACCACCATTCAATTCCAACATTGTGGAACCGTATTGGATTCCATGTGGCTAACTTCACTTTATTTTAAAAATTTCTGCTTTCTTGTAAAACATTACGCTATCTATGTGAAAAATCTTCCCCCCTCCCAACCATTCTTAAATGCAATTTTACAGAGGTTTTCTGGAGTGATTACTCAGAGATGAAGATTAGACTAGGAAGACAGTCCAGTTTTTTTCCTCCTTTACAAAAGAAGTTTGTCATTTTCTCTTGGTATCCCCCCATGAGCTCTTCATCGTGTTGTGCAGAGATGGAGCTTTCTGGAGGACAGAGGCATCTTCTGCTCTGTGTTGGATCTTGTTTCCTCAATCCATTTTTGTGCTCTGGAGGATAAGTCTTTGGAGTGAGATTCTCACTTAGCAATGTGTGTAGAGTGAATAACACAAGAGGGCACTGAATCCCCAACCACAACCTGCAGGGACCAGTGCAATATATGCATCAATAAATAAAAAATGGCAGTAATATTGGCAAAAGAAGATTCTTGAGGGTCTGAAGGATTTCAGGCAAAAACCTAATTTTATATTTTTTACAAATAATCTTATACATTTCTGAAACTATAAATATACAACCTCAGAGTTTATGCTGAGCAAGAGGAGAAAAATAATAATAAAAAAGAAGAGTAGTGTTTATAGGGGGAAACATACTATATCTGTGTGCAACTTGCTAAGCAGAACGTTAGTGCAAACTCTTGGCTTTGCACACCCGTCCTCGCCAGGCTGCACCCCCTCCTCAGGCTGCCCTCTCCTTAAACCAGCCTCTCCTTGCTCCCTTTGCAGCAGAACCTGGCCCGGATCTATCGGCAGCCTTTGGCAGCGCGGCAGCCCTTGGCACCAGCGTGCGGAGCCGAGTCCTGCGGGGCTCTGTGCCAAGGGCTTTGTGCTCCCTTCATTTTGGGGCTTGTTATCGAGCACCAGCCCGGCCTCAAGGGCGTTGCAGGGCCCTGGGTCAGCGGGAGCAATTTTCCACAGTCCAGTTTCATCCCACTTATTCCAGATGCTGTGCGTGTGCTCAGCACAGAGAGCAGCTCCAGAGAAGCAGAGCGGAGAATGGTTGGAAACAGGGAGGTTTGGGATTGAAAGACCAGGCAGATCAGGCAGAGGGGAGCAGTTTGTCCCTGGATGAGAGACGATGCTGGCTTTACTCAGAAAGGGCCCTGAAAGGAAAGAGAAATAACAGAGATCCGGAGGTCATAGAATCATAGAATCAYAGAATGCCGAAGGTTGGAAGGGACCTCAGAGGTCATCGAGTCCAACCCCCCTGCTCACGCAGGGTCACCTAGAGCACGTGGCACAGGGCTGCATCCAAGCGGGTTTTAAAGATCTCCAAAGAAGGAGACTCCACAACCTCTCTGGGCAGCCTGTTCCAGTGCTTTGTCACCCTCACAGTGAAGAAATGCTTCCTTAAGTTCCTGTGGAACTTGCGATGCTTCAGTTTGAAGCCATTTCCTCTAGTCCTATCCCTGCCCACCACTGAAAAGAGGCCGGCCCCCTCCTCCTCCCTCCCAAATGAGGTAAATGAGAAGCTGGCTCAATTATAAAAGGTACAAGAATTAATACGTTTCTGCAGTCTTTTCTTTTACTTTGTGAGTCCCTGGGCATGMACAAGAATTAGACTGAGGTCCCTGGGCTGAGGCCCCTGTGGGACAGAGGGTCAGGTCACCTCAGCTGTGCATGAGAGGGAGAAAAGTTAGAGAGGCCATTCCCAGGGAAAATGAATTGTGCCCGGGGCTGCCTTAAGGCTGTGGTATTCATGTAGACCTGCCGGTCACCTCTTATCATGCATTTTTAACAGGATTCCTGTTGCTTGGCAATAACAGCTTTCCAAAGTAGCCTGTTCGTGTGCTCTGACCGGAGGTAGTGATCCCAGTTTGGTCATTAAGGCTAGCGAAGGCAGGTGGCCCCACATTGCCGCTAGGTATGGCTTAAAACCCCATTAATAATGTGGGCTGAAGGAATCCTTGTTTCACCCTGCCTGTTACTCACCACCTGGCTGCTGAGTGAACCTAGGGACAGGATCGGTCACATTTTCCCGTTGGATTCCGGAGCCTACACTTGCCAAGGCTGTCGTAAGAAGTTGTCATGCAAGTCGTTTTAGAAATCTGTTATTGAATTTAGGCCTATTATCATTCAAATGTGCTAAGTAGTTACATGTGCATTTCTGTTTCTCCTAGATTATCAAATGTAGCTTACTTTTATGCTGCAGTAAATKCATCATTTGCCTCATTGAGGTTGTTTCTTTGCATCTTTTCAACGTAATAGGCCTAAGTGTTGCTCTTTATACCATTCTCCAAACATAATCACTTTCCATTGTAGCTAAACACTTTCTTTCCCTAATACAGATGCTTTTCACTGATGTTTTGAATGAAGCATGGCCTGAATGAAGCATTTGTACCTTCCTCTCCCCTTACAGGTGGCTGGTAGTGAAAGAATCCTTCCTGCTGTACATGAAGCCAGACAGTGGGGCCATCGCCTTTGTCTTGCTGGTAGATAAAGAATTCAACATAAAGATAGGCCAGAAAGAGACAGAAACGAAATATGGGTTGCAGATCGACAATCTCTCTAGGTAAGAAATACAAACCTGTAGACCTCTCTTTATATTTAATTTCTTAAAAAAAAGAAATAAATTGCTTATATCGAGGAAGTGTTAACAAGGTGCCCCTATTTGAGCAAGTGAGAAATTCAGCAGGAAATTCAGCACCCATCCGTGCCGTGGAGGAGGGTCCCTCCAGGAGGGTCCCCCCAGAAGGATCCCCCTGTCCCTGTGCTGTCACTGGAGTGTTTATATACTCAGGTGTGAAGGTTTGGAGGCTGGGCTGCTCCTGCTTCATCTGCACAGTTATTCCTCAGGAGCAGGAGGCAGTTGTCTGTTCACTTGCAGTTGTTTTTTGCAGCAGTTGCTTACAGTAAATTTTAGTCTCTCTGTTCTTTCCTGTTGCAAACAGGAATATGTTGCTCGAAATTGCAACTGGAGCATTGCACAAAAGATAGGCTAGTTGAGACAAAAACATACTTTTCATGCTAAAATAACATAAAAAATCTGTTTTTTTTTTAAATACAGCTCTAGCTGTGTCCTTTTTTCACACTTAGACTGGTTCTATTAATTTGATTGGAATATATTTTATACTTGGCAGGCTGTGGTGTTATATAACAGTCACTCAGAGTGGCCAAGTGTTGATTTATTCTTTTGGAAATAACAAAGCACAGTCTCTTGCTCCTCGTTACCTTTTGCTTAAATAAAGCACGACTGATGCAGGCGCGTTTAGCAACATATGTGGACAGCGAGAAGTAAGTCAATTAAAGCTACGTGCCCCAGCACTCTTCCTCATGCATCATTTGTTTTACAGGTCACTGATTTTGAAGTGTAACAGCTACAGGCATGCCCAGTGGTGGAGACAGGGAATAGACGAGTTCATTCGGAAAAATGGCAAGAACTTCCTAACAGAGCACAGATTTGGGTCCTACGCAGCCGTGCAAGAGAACACACTGGCCAAGTGGTAAGAGGGGGAGTCCTGGAGCAAGACTGCCCGCCGGTGTCAGTGGAAAAGGTGCTGCTTTCTGCAACTGGAGAGGCCCAGGCCTTCCTGACCCAGCCCTGGAGGCTGGAGGATAGGTTTGCTTTCATCCAGTAGTTATAGACTGCAGTGATACTGAAGAAAGGGGAAAAAACCTGTAGCTTTTTTGATGGGTAAGAGAATAGCAAATCTAGTGAGAGGACTGCTTTGATCCTGTGATGGCTTTGAATCACAGCTAATAGTGTTTTGAAATGTTGAGTTTGGTATGAATTTAAATACAGCAGGTGTTTACTGTTTTAAGAATAAAAGTTATATCTCAGTGCACACATAATTGGCAGGATACTGATGAACTTAGGACAGAACTGCTTGTTCAATAAGATCTCTCTGGCTTCTGTTTTATCATAGTTTCTGATTCTGGGCTGTAAACCCGTGGTCATGCAGGACTATTCGATATGTCAGCATCTTTTGCTGCTTCCTTCTCTGTAGCTTCTTTATAAGGAAGTTGTGCTGCATCATTCCTGGTTTTGCTCGCTTTGCTTCTATTAGAATTAAACATGAGCAGTACATGAGCTGTTATTGTAGCTTCTGTCCTGCAGCCTTGCACTGCTCAGAACATTCCCATAACTCGAAGCTAACACTATCACACCATCCTCTTCTGAGAACCAGAAGCAGCTCTGCTGTTCAGCAAAGCCCCATGGAGTATTCTGTGGGCTGGTCGGGGTTCCGAGGGGCCTGCAATAATCCCCTGGTGTGCTGCTCCATTAGGATACTAATGGCAGGATGAAATCCTCCCTGTATGTTGCCCAGATTCCTGAAATTAGGTTTGCTTTTCCTTTTGAGAAGAGAATGTAAACAGCATTAAGGTAGAACCCTGTCAGTCTGCAAGTCTGAACTTTCTGTTTTGATTAAGGGCAAGGAAAAATAAGTGTGTGCATTTTGTTTGCTTTTACAGGTATGTGAATGCTAAGTGGTACTTCGAAGATGTTGCCAATGCCATGGAAGCAGCTAAAGAAGAAATTTTCATCACGGATTGGTGGTTTGTACTCACTTATTTGGATTTTGCCCGGCCGCTTCAGGACATTCCCAACAATTCTGCAGTGTTCAAAGGCCTTACAGTATGGAAACTAGCCGTGCAGCCAGATGGTTTGGCAGCACACGCAAACATCTCGCTGTGTTGTATTCAAAGGCCTTTTCAGGAGGCTTGGCAGCAAAAGCACATGCTTGAAATCAACAGCTTGGTTGTCCCCTTCCAAGGAAAGGGCTGAAAATTGCACGAAGGCACCATCTGAATTGAAAATGTTATGGCTTGCATTGCTTCATTGGGAGTGTAAGTCATCGTAAGCCCAAGGGACAATAATGTCTTTCAGTGTGTAAGGGAACATGGGTGCTCATGTATGTGACCTGTACAGTGCCCTTCCCACTTTATTCTTCACTGTCTTGGGAAGCCTTGTGCTACCAAGGAGAGCACTTGGTGCTCCCTAAACAAGTCAGACGAGAAGAGGGAATTTTGTAATCACTTTCCTGAGCTATGTGGCTGCTTAAGGACCTGCCTATCCCCTGTTAAAGTTATACTTAGCTAGTAAATTAGTATGTTTGTTTGTTAGGATGGTGGTTCCTGATAGAGGCAGGAAACAATGAGCTCTTATGGTCCTTGGGATACAGTTACTTGGCTGGATGTGGTTGCTCCTCCTTTATCCTGCCTTTGCAAGATCACCAGAGGCCACCCTGGACCCTAGAGCAAAAAGAGTAGACTCTAGAGCTAGCTCTTGGACTTCCTCTTTAACCTGGAACAAATCTCTGCACTTCCCTGTCTCCATCTATAAAATGAACCTCTTAAAGCTCTTCTACTTCCAGGAAGTGTTAGGARGGTCAACTCATGGTGTGAGGTAGGAATTAGTTTGAGAAAACTAAATGGGATGTTCTCCCTCACTGAGGGAAAACRTGTTCCTAAAGTGACCGCAGATAAACACAGTGTTCCTGGAATCCTGTGGGTCACATCAGGTAGGAACACGAGAGCATCACGTCASATGTGTTGCCTCTTCCTTCCCTCGGCATTTTATTGAGACAGTGATCAGTTYGTAGCATACCTTGGGACTGTAAAACTTATCTGAAACATAGAGCTTAAGATAAAAGTGCTGCTGTCAGAGGCATGTTATTTTTTGSATGTAGCAATATGCTTTAATCAAGCACAACTTTCTGCGCTCTGTATAAGTGAAGGGATGAAATTCTGTGACCTTGCTCTGCAGGAGCAACTCTGCAGAGACAAGATTGCCTAATTGTTCCTTGTAATCCTTAAAGCTATGAATCAATRGAATGTTCTGTTGTGAGAGCATATTGCTTTGTCTTGAGGCAGGAAGGAAAATTCAGCACAAATCTGTATTAATTCATTTAGCTTAAGTAGCAGGAGTACTGAAATCCCAGTTACTTTATTTTTTTGAATCTACTTATTTGTTTCAAATGCATCTTGGAAATTCCTTTCTTTGCATTTCTCAGCTGGAGAGCCCAAGTCCATCCGTTTCTACGTAAGTGTTAAATTTGATCYCATGGGTTGCTGAAAACTAAAATGAATGTGTTGGACACATGACCTATCCTCTGTGATGTTCTGTGATTAAAAACAAAGTACGTGATGTTATAGAAGATTGTGTCATTTTAGGACACTGGACTTCACATCCACTTACATAAACTGCTTTTCTTTGCTTGCTGCATTGATTATTTAGGCTGATGCTTTGTTTGCAAACTAAGTGTACTATGTTCTTCCACTGCTTTAATTTTGTAGGCTGAGCCCAGAAATCTTCATGAAACGACCTGTTGTAGAAGGAAATCACTGGAGACTGGACTGCATCCTCAAGCGAAAGGCAGTAAGTAAGCTCCAGCTTCCACCTTTGCTCTRTGTGCCCCCTCTTGCAGAATCACATATGGACTGCAGCATTTGCACTGTTTATTTTCATAGAAATGAGAGTTAAAGGTACCACAGATCAAGCCTCATTTCCTCTGAACTTTGAGGCCGTGCGTCTTAATTTTCTTCCCCACTCTGGATTTGGAAGAGTTTGGAGGCAGAGTGCTAGATATTTGGGTTGCTGTTTCCATTCCCTGGATTTTGGGTGGGTTCTGCCATGCCTTGACACTGCTCCAGCTCCAAGAGCTGTTGCTGTCTGGCTCTTTCCTTGTGGCACATGGAACTTAGAGGTAYAGAAGGGACTAAGCACTCGTGGTGATTCTTGGTAGGTGGTTTATATGTCACTGTGTTGTGCAGGTATTGTGTGTCATTGCCGGGCACATTCCCTGTGCTTCTGCTTTCAGMGCTGAAGCTATAAAAGATACCATCAGTCTTCCATAAAGAAGAAAGGGTTGGAAAGAGCTTCTGGCAGAACATGTGGTTTGATTAGGATGAATGGCTTTTTGAAAAGGTAGAAAGTCAGAGAGTGAATGCAAATGGCATCACGTTCCTCTGACCTGGAATCTGGTGTGGAACTTGTAAACAGTGCAGTGATAAATGGGACTTGGACTTGGGCTCCTATTTCCATCCTTATGTTATCTGAGTAAATAAATTCTTGTGTATAGTAAGCAAATGCTTATATAAACTGGGATTCTTGATAAGGCTTTTTTTTTCCCTTCTATTTTAATTTCTCCTTCTCTGCCATTCTTCCTGAACTGACAAATTCAGATCTGCTGTTGACCTGGTGCCTTTCCTAGTGCTCCCTGTAGGAATTCCCTTGTAAAGCTCTGTGCTTCTCCTTTTTTCCTGCAGTGATTTGATATATGGCAGGCCACAACTCCCTTCAGTTCTGGCTTTCAAGGAGGAGCACCTGTGATGCTGTGAATGGTTTGCTTGTATGGTTTTGGTTGAGTTTTGCATTTCCATCTTCTCAGAAAACAGTTTATTTTGTGCTTTCAAATAACCAGTCTGCATCCAGACTGGTTTCCAGCATCTTTCAAGGACCTGAATGAGTCAGACAGAAAAGATGTTGAGTTTGGGCCGTGTTTCAGTTCTAATCCAACCACTGRAAATGCTGGTGTTAGGACTGGTAGTTGCCCCACACGAGCAGTGACTCAGAAAGGGAAGCGCAGCCAGGTGGAGCAGGGGGGAATATTGATGTGGTAAAAGGGCAGGAGTCTGGGCAGCAAAACTAAAATAAATGTTGACTCCCTCCCTTCCAAACCAGTCGTCTTGACAGTTGTCAGTGACTCCACATGCTTAGAAAAAAATAGGGTTTTAAAATTTTCTTTTCTTTTTTCCTTTTTCTTTGTATGTTTGTGAGTATGCGAATTTGTTGAATTGAAAGTAGTCTTATTTTTGGCAAACGAATCATATCCATAGGGCAGGCTCACTGAAAGAATTAGACTTTCTTTGTTGGGTCGACATAGATTTTCCTGTGGCTACAAATATTTTTGTGAGAGTGAGTAATGTTGCCGGGTGAGTTCATGGAAACACTTCCCTCCTCTCTCATTTGTGGTATTTCCTTGGTTCAGCAGGGCCTTCCTGGTGTTTAGGTRGGAGTACAGCTGTCCTCTGTGTGTGTATGGGGCTTCCTTGTGCAGCCTCCTTGGAGCAGTGTACTGAAGAGCAGACTATCATCCATAGTTCGGAGACTCCCTAAGCTCTCAATAGCAGCTTTGAAGGAGCAGGGATTTCCAGTTCTGTGGCAAGGTTAGGCCCTTAGTTTAAGCTGGGATCCTCCAGGTGAAGCTGTGCTGATTCCTGGCAGCAGAAGCTGTCCCAGTGTGTGAGCAAGCTCAGTAGGGAAACACTTAGCAATTTTGCCAGTGCTTTAACGTAACTGTCTCCTTAGAAACTCTCATAGATATCATTAGAATAACAGAAAGCATCATCATGTGGGTATTGCACATTCTGTTCCAGGAACTTGCTTCAGCTAAAATAACTTTTTACAGTAAAAACTTGTTTGCTGTCACCAGCTCCACTGTGTTTCCTTTGGGAGAAGGATGACAGGATGACTTCACTGGTGACATTGTCCTGCAGATGCTTCTAACTGTAGGCAAAACTTGGGAGAACATGAACCAACTGGATGTGTGGATGTGTGGAATATGRTTGCTAGGTGGAGTGAATTGAATTTGAAAAATTTTACCTCAAAGACTGTTTAAAAATGGGAACTCTAAGAAGGACCTTTTGTTGGGTTTCAGGTATGAGCCCTCTTTTGGAGTCTGAAGAGCTTCCATGAGAGATGAGGGCTCCTGCATACTGTAAGATCTAGTTGCTGGAACTAGAGAATGTAATCAGGAAAGACCTCAGTAATCACAGGCTGCATTTTTGCCTACAAAAACAACACACACCCCGCCCCTTAGCTTTTCGTTGCTTTTTAAATGCATTATGTCCATTTAAATATCTGCATAACATGTATTTCTTTTCATTTCTAACAGCAACAAGGAGTGAGAATCTTTGTGATGCTGTATAAAGAGGTGGAGCTTGCCCTAGGAATCAACAGTGAATATAGCAAGCGGACACTCATGCATCTCCATCCAAACATTAAGGTAACTGCACTGCACATAGGAGTGCCAGTTGCATTCATTTGCCCTTGCTATCTAGCAAGGAATTTTGTGGTCTGAACTGGACGGCAGCTGTTGTCACTGTTGCAGTGGGAATAGTCTTTGAGGATTCACCCATGCAGTGCTCACCAGCACTGTAGGCTGCTTCATATCTTTTGGTTATAAACTGAACATAAATGTGTTCAGTTTAGACTTGCCACACCACGTATTCATCTGATTCCCAAGAAACTTATTTCATGTGACAAATGAATGGAGTTGCATCTTAATGGAGTTGCATCAAATGGGAAATTACAGGTTGAGAATGTTGCCTCTTGTCAGTGTTTCTGTTCATACATAAATGGAGTCAACAGTGGATGTTTACATTCCCATCATAAACAAAGAGCATTCTGCTCTCCGTGTTGTTATCAGCTGCTCTGCCACYGAGCACAAAATGAATTGTGGGGCATAAACCCCAGGAGATTATTATACTSTCTCTTGAAATTAGAGACATGTAAATCTTCATGAGATATATATTACATGAGGGAGATTAACAAACTGCTAAAAGAAATAATAAATTTGTTATCACCTGATTAGTTGTCCCTGTGAAGGGAAGCATTTGTGTACTAGCATTTTCACAGCATGACTGCACGGTGTTTGTGGAAGCTGTGTGATTTTCTTGGCGAGCAGCCAGGTGAAACATTAGTTTCTTGTGCTGCAGCTTGGTCTAGTGGTTCTTCTCTAGCAATAAAGAACTAAGCTGCAGGCTGTGTATCTATAGGTGAGATTCCTTCACTGTGATGCTTTAATGAATGCTGCTGTAATTGGGCTCAGTCGCATCTGTAGCTGTTGCTGGGCAGGAATATCCACATCACTGGGGAGCACCTGCTGTGTCCGGGCTAGAGAGGAGTCATGTTGCAATAGCAGTAAGACCATTTGTGTAGAAAAGATCCTGTGTTATCCCTGTCATGCTGAGCAGCCCCACAAAAGTGCAGGAGCTTTCAGGCTGCAGATTTAAACCTTCGATCAAGGAGGTCTGCGCACCACCTGAACCTGGCAGTGGTTCTTTCCCCAGGTGATGAGGCACCCAGACCACGTGTCCTCCTCCGTGTACCTCTGGGCCCACCACGAGAAGCTCGTCATCGTTGACCAGTCCGTAGCGTTCATTGGTGGCATCGACCTGGCCTACGGCAGGTGGGACGATGACGAGCATCGCCTGACKGATGTTGGCAGCGTGAAACGCGTGGCGACGGCTAAGTCGGTGTCCACAATCAATCTGGCAGTAAGTGGCCTTCTTCCAGCTGGCTGCCGTGTTCAAGCACGTGCTCTGCGAAGGAACACGCAGAAGCCTCATGGTGTTGGCGGGGAGGGACCAAGTGTATGACTTTCTGAGCCCAGCATTGAGTTTAGGAGTTTTAAAAATGGGAAGAGAGAAATATCTGCCACTGGATGACTCTGTGGGGCTAGATCCTGAAAAGGATCCTGAGCCCCTGCTAAAGGGGTAGGCACGTGGGTTTCCTCCCCAGCTTGGAGTAGTCATCACCATTTGCAGCTGGTGTTCTTAATAATTCATTTTTTTTAATTTAGTTATAAGTGCATAGAAGGCACTTGTGGAGTGCTCCAAACTGCTGGATACTCAGGTCCTAGGCAGGTGCCTTCTTTGTTGGCTGAGGTGTTCTGATAACCTGTAGGCAATTTAAAGCAGTCTGAATATATGGGGATTTTGAGAGCAGTCATAATCCAGAACAAATTTATGGCTAATTTATTGAAGAACATACAGCTAATATTAATAGAGATTTCTGTTAAGTGCATCTTTGGTACAGGTTCCCTCTCAAAAGCATTCATAATTCCCACTAAAACGGTGTGAGTTGTGTCTTTGTCATGGAGCCAGCTTTGGCTCACGGTGCTTCTGAGCACTGATAGAAAAGATCATCTGTAATTAAAGGAGACCTTGTCCATACATCATGATCAGTCATGTCCTGTGTCTCTTAAGTCTGCAGCTGAGTCAACTGAACATATCGCCCTGGAGCCTCCAGCTCCGTCCCCAGAAAACCGTCTGCTCCAGAACAATGCTGAAGATGCCCCAGACGTTTCAAAAATGAAAGGGGTAGGAAAGTCCAAAAAGTTTTCGAGATTCAGTATTTATAAGCATCTCCAGAAGCACRGCATGCACCACGCTGATAGCGTCAGCAGCATAGACAGCGAGTCAAGTAAGTAACGTTTCTCAGCTTAGCTTTACCTAAACGACGTATAGAAAGTGCGCGCGGAGGTGGGTGAGTGGGTGTACGTGCACATTCACATAATTTCTAGGGTAATGTGTTCTTTGTAAAGAAAGTAAGTCGATGAATTCCTTAACTATCAGAATAATAGCTGTGTTTAGTCAATATGTAAATTTGTGTCACTGCCAAACATGTAGGAAAAGTTTAAGTGGATTTGAGTTTAGTTAATTAGCAATTGTCATGAGCCATCAGGTGATGTGACGTAGCCTGTGTGATATCTAGTATTTTTATTGTTGGAGAATCTTTGTTGCTGCAATGGAGAATTGAATCTTTCCTATTTCAACTTGTATTTAATGTAACAAGTGAAACAGCTCCTTAATATGGTTATCATCCATCATGCATTAGTGTTACCTAGTGTTTATCCACTTCCTAAGTGGAGAGACTTCCAAGCTGATTATTTGAATGCAGCTTTTAATTCCACACATTGAAGCCAGCTTCAAAGCTAAGATTAAAAGGGTTGACCTCAAGTTCGTTCCAGCGTGAACTTTTTACAGTGACCTCTATTTCAGAGGTCCTCCATTCCTGAGGCTGGAAACTGTCTCTGGAATTGTTATTCCCACTCTCCACAATGAGAGTTTATTCCTTTGGCAGCAGGAAGCCTCGCAGGAGCACAGTTTGCCCAGTTGCTTTGGTCACAGTTCAGGACATACTGAGGTAGCAAAAGCATCACTTTGGCTGTGGGGCTAAAACACAGCTGGGTGAATCTGATGGTCACTAGTAGTGTCACGAAATTGGCATCTCATTTGAACTAGTCATGCAAGTTGTTCCTAGTCAGGATCAGTAACCCGTGTGCTAGAAGGAGATGTGTGTTTTTGCTGTAAATGGAGCATCTTGACTTTCTGCAGGTTATTGTAACCCCAATAGAAGTCAACCGAATATAATCCAGAGTTTAAAACCCCACCTGAAAATGTTTCATCACCACAATGAATCCAAACAGGGGCTCGCTGAGCCTCGGGAGGGTAAGTGGAGGAAGGCAGAAGTGCAGACCCYGCTAGGCTTTAGCTTTCACTGTTTTGCGCTCTGGTCTTGGTGAGAGTTAGGTTGGATTCCTGGATCAACCTTCTCCTGTTTGTGTCGCGCTCTCAACAGCTTATCACCCCATCTGTAGGTATTCTTACAGAAACACCTTCGGCATAAGTAGAAGGAACAAAACAAAACCAGAGTTACAATAATGACAGTAGTACAGTTGAGAAATTAATTTTAGTACATGATTTTTTCAACTTTTTCATTAAGTACTGGATTATTTACTGTGATGGAAGGGGCTTATCCCTGGAATTGGGAACATTATGCATCAGKAATGCATCATTATGGGTCACTTACTTTAAAATATCTAATGCAGAGGACAGAAGAAACAGCCAAGGACCAACKGCCAGACTCATAGTTAAATGAAGATTTGGGCCTCCCTTTTGGCCCTTATTACAGTTAATGAAAWCATACTTGATTGAAAAAGGAGTTGGATGCTTGTGGTCATTGATCTGTTCTCATCTCTGGACTGATGCTAGAAGGTGTTGTTCAAAATACCCACCTGTATATGGATGGTAGGTAGATTAGATAGATATCTTGGATTTGGGCTGAGTGAGGAGTAGTCTTCCACATCTTTGTCATTTTAACATCTTCCTCAGAGATGCCAGTTCTAAAATAGCAGTTGCAAAATACTGGTGTGTAATGAGAAGATGTCTTTGCTGCACAGGGAAATGAACAGTGTCCCCGCTGTGGTCACTTCCTGCTCCTTCGTGAGCCAGGGTGCAGCCCTAGGGCCGTGCAGTGTGCTGGGACGCACAGCTACATCCCGTGCACCCTCATTGACACAYGCAGAGCCAGTGATTCCCCAGCTCCACCTGGACTCTCACTAGAAGCTCCAGCTTTTCAAGGGATACCTGCGGCATGGCGTTGGGGGCATGGCTTGGCTTGGCTCCTGGGGTGTGATAACAGCGCTGGCAGGGCTGGCTTCGTGTCCACTCTTCTAACCGCACTGTTGCTGGTGTGCATTTCACTGACTACTAAAACATTTTTAGCACCCTAAGTTTGGAATTCAGGATCTGTTTAACTGTAAGACTCAAAATTGAGACGTTGTGTTCGAAGGGAAGATTTTAAAAAATAACAAGAAGCAGATATGTTGTTTTCCTGTACATATTTCCACTAAGGTCAGTGATGGCAGGGAGTAGATTCACTCCTGGTGCTATTTAGGTGTCACAGCATTGTGGAAAGACAAATAATTACAGGATAATCTTTTAGTCTGATGCAGAGAGGATTCAGCATCTGTTTTTTGTTTCTTGAACAGATTTTTGTACATATAAATCTGTCCTGTTTGCATACCAGGAATACCAAAATAAGGAAGAAAAATATTTTAGTAACTCCTTTGAAAGCAGCAGAAAGAATAGGCAGAGAAGAGCTTCATCTTATTGAGACTGCAGAGTCAGTGCCTTTTGGCTGAAGCAGGATTCTCACAGGTGTTGTATAACTTGGGAACACGTGTGTGACATCTCCTTTACCCGTGACAGACAAAGGGTCGATGCGCAGCCTGAAGACAGGGGTTGGCGAGCTCTTYGGGGAAACGAGATTCTGGCACGGGAAGGACTACTGCAACTTTGTCTTTAAAGACTGGGTTCAGCTTGACAAACCTTTTGCTGGTAAGTGCCTTTGCACTGGGGTTYGTTACCTTCCCCCAAACCACATCTTGCTGCTAGAAAGAAGTAGCAAAAACCTCATTAAAATCGTAGCGCCAATTATCCTGCTACGGACTGATGATTTGGGCCGGGTGGGGGTCATTGCACAGTGAGTGTCAAGAAACCTGCACAGCCATTGATGTCATGCTCCYGAAAGCTTCACTTTAATGAAAGGGACCCCTCTATATTGCCCGTGAATAGCTGGTGTTTACCCGAAGCTCTCCTCTGTGCCCCAGATTTCATCGACCGGCACACGACGCCGAGGATGCCCTGGCACGACATCGCCTCCGCCGTGCACGGCAAGGCCGCCCGCGACGTCGCCCGCCACTTCATCCAGCGCTGGAACTTCACCAAGGTCGGCCCCGAGGAGGTGGCACCTGCTTCTGGGTGTCCTGCTCCCCACAGCACTGCCTGCAGCGTTAGTTTTCTCATCCTACTTTGTTTCCATCTCTTCCTTTTCTTTTGCCGTGGCAGATCATGAAGCCCAAGTACCGATCCCTGTCCTACCCATTCCTGCTGCCGAAATCTCAGGAAACTGCTCATGAGTTGAAGTACCAGGTGCCTGAGTGTGTTCGTGCCACGGTCCAGGTGGGTACTGATGCTCTTCTGTTCACATGCTACCAAAGGGAGTCCTTTTTGCATCTTTCCAGGAGATGTTTAAAAATATAAAATGAGGCACTCATACCCATTTTAGCTTATAACACAGGTGATGAGATCATCAATTAAAATAAAATAATGCAGCTATCTCAGTAGAGCTGTGGTAATGTACCTCTCCATCGTTGGAGATAAGAGGACCAAACTACATGTGGTATTCCAGTAGCTGGAGCACCATAGCTGTGTAATTTTCAGTCTCATTTGTGTTAATCACTCTCAGTGCTCAGAATTACAATGATGTCTATATTTAAAACGCTACTAGCTATATTGCGTGCATGTTTTGAATATTAGTGTGCGTGGTGTGTACATGGACTTGTTGAAGATTACAAGGTTAAAATAGTTATGTCTGAACAGCAAGGCCATCGTGCGTGTCTGGGGAAGAAAGATGAATGAACTAACAGAGATTAGATCAAAGCAAGGAAAATACGTGTCTGTTCTGTTCGTAACGCGTGGTCCACCCCGATGACAGCAGCGCTTGGGGAAGCTCTGATTAACAAGACGTGTGTGTTTGGGGTTTGTGGCCTGTATGTGCTGTGAATGATGGTCGGCCTGGGCATCTTTTATCATCCTCAGATTGTGTAAAAGGATCATGTGCATTTTGTGCCAGTCCCCAAACATTGCTTGCAGCTTGTTGAGAAATATGCTCTAACCCCGGGCACCATCACGTTCTTAGTAGCTGGAAGTACCTCTTGGGCTGTCTGTGGCACCAATTCCTTGGGAAACTTTGCTCTTGTGGAAGCAAGGAGTCTTGTGTTCCCTACATTCACTGTAACTGCAAGACTAACATTTTAAATCACAGGTTTTGCTGTAGCAAGGAAAGAGGGTAAGTTCTCCTCATTACAAAATTAGGAAGTAACCAGAGGAGAAAAACGAGACCTAGATCCTAGATCAAACTTTTCTTAGAGCCCCATGCCACAGAGCTGCTGACTCAGGAGGAAGGATGAATACAAGTGTGTTCCACCCTAGCAGAGCTGAAGTGGTGACTGGTAGAAACCATATACMTGGATGCTGACTGGTGGTGAGCTGTTTGAGAACTAGCCTGGTGATGACATTGTGGGGAAACTGCAAATAACTGACGCATTCCAGGAAATTGCAGTCTGTTCTCAGTGATGCCAGAAAGGGGGGAAAAAAGGACAGGTTTATCCTATGAATTATGCATTTGAAGCTGCCAGGCTCATTTCTAATTCATGTCTGACTGCAGCCCTTGGAGCCGCAGCAGGGCAGCCCAGCCCACCCGCAGCAAAGGGCTCGATAAACAAAACCCAACAACAGGAGACTTGGAACAAGGCTGCCCTGCACGGCCCCGATGGATGCACCACGGGGAGGACGGGGCTCCCTGCCCCTTGCACGGGGCAGAAGCAGGCGAGAGGTGCTCGGCACACTGGACATGCCCGAGCTGATGCTGCTGAGGCTGCTACACTCGTGCCATGAGTGCCTGGCTGCAGGTGCCAGGGCTGCACTGGGGCTCCAGCCCGCCGAGGAGGGCTCGGCTCTGCGGCCGTGTCGCACCCGCAGCGGGGTGTCCCATGTGGGGAGCCCCCTTTCTTCCTTGGGAGGAGCTCCTCGAGCTCCGAGGCGCCGTTCTGCACRCACTGCACTTCTGCCTGCCGCCCTGGGCTGCTAGTGCTCTGCTTGTCCTCAATTCTCATTCATCCGCCGGCGCGGCAGCGAGCAGCGTAGGAGCCTGGTTACTAGGAGACTGGGGAGCCTGAGGACAGGGAGCTCGAGCAGGGAGAAGARCGTAGCTTTCCTGAGGCACCAAAATGCCCCCAGCGGCCCTGAGGCCACTGCTGCAGGTGGCTTCCGTGACTGCCTCGAGTCTTTCCTGCTGGGGAAGATTTGGGATGTGCCTCTGCACACAGTGCCGCGGTGCGGAGAGGGGAGGACATGTGCAGCCTGCTCTGACCCTCGCCGCCCCGCATTCCCTTTTCCTGGGGCTCCCGCCTTGCATGCCAGGCTGTGTGGAACAAGCCCRCAGGAGCTCCTCTATGGACCCTTTTCCATGGACAAACCACCGGCAGCTTCATTTTCAGGCAGGACTGAAGCCTGATGCCTTCCCAGAAGTGGCAGCAAGTGTGGGGGGACTGAATAGGYGCAGTGAAACTATAGGAGTATTTTTCTTTATTTATTGGGACAGCAGCCAAAAAAACATGAGTATTTGATATCTCTGTTGTGCTGCCATTCAGAGACTTCATAGGTAACTCTCAGACCAGCAGTTACTACCCCAAGATGAAATCCAGCATCCAGACACAGCAAACAGTCCTGACCGTAGGGCTCTTCTGGAAAATCTGGCAGCTCATTTTCTTTTTTCTGAACATGTTTGCAAGTCTGTCTTCAATTGTGGCAGATCAGAGGAAGAGAAAACACAAAGGATCTGTGGGGGATGCAGTATTACTGCAAGCTCAAGCAACTGACCCGTCATCAACAGATTTGGGGCTTTTTGTGCCATCTGTTTTTGTTCTGCTTTGTGAAGGAGAACACCAGAAAAAACGTGTGTTAAGGAGGCTTTGGAAGAAGGTGGGGGAAAGCAGGAGTGACACTGAAATGAGAGCCCACCTGGGTAGGAAGCAGGAAGATAGTGCTCATGTGAAGGAAGGAAGAAAAGACCTAGTCAGCTCCAAGGGTTAGTCAGACATCCTCTCATCCTCCTTCACTTCAGCTTCGGGCGTTGCAATAGCAGTCCAGTGGCAYGCTGATTTTGCAAGGGGCAAATGGTGTTGTGCCAGAGGCAATTTTTTTTCCAACTCTTTCCATTCCCCAGTTTGCAGTTATCATCCAAAGGAAGTGGAATAAAGCATGTGACGTGGTGAGACAATATCCATGGCAATGAAAATGTACTAAATGCATGAAATGTGGCTAGARCTCTTACCTCTTTGAGGTCTGCGTGAGAGCCTGCATTGTTCAGAATTCCTGCACTAGCCCACAGCAAACAAATGTTATGGCTGGTGGCTGGGTTAAGCAAGTGGAAGAGGCGTCAGGCCCAGCGCAGCACTTGGCRGTGCGATTGTGAGCCTGCCATGAGAGAAGAAAAGAACAACCAAGACAACTTGTTGATCTGTAGGGGCTGTGTCGAAGCAGCTTGTGACCTTTTCTTCCTGACGTGGAAATGGTTTGGGTTTAAACCAGTTCACTTAGAGTACTTTAATAGGAGAGGAGAGACTTCCAGGGATGGTGAGAAAGTATCAGTGATAAGAAAAGTTCGATGTAATAATCTTCAAAGTTTAAATGTTGCAGTTTCAGCTTCATTTTCTAGGGGCTGCATCCAGCAACTTCAAGATGCTGGCGTTGGTGGCTGTGGAGGTCGTGTCCTACCCCAAGACACCAACGTGCCCCATCCCGTTGTGTCACTGTGGCTGTGGAGCAGCACTGTGACCRTGTAGGCTGCTGGAATGATCCAGGTGTCCTATCCATGGCTTCTTCAGCTTGGAACAGACTCCCGTCCCCTCCCAGCAGTTAGGCTGGTTCTGCAAGTGCAAGGCTGCTGTGTGAGCAGGCTCCCAATTCAGAATAAAGGTACTGATTTATTCCCTGTGCCAAGCAGAGCTTCAGCTAGTGCTAATGTAAAGAGAGGTGTGGAAGTTACTTTGCTCCGTGCAGGGCTCAGCAGCTTATCTCCGGAACAGAGATGGCTTTTTGGCAGCATGGACAAAGTTCATCAACTAAAAGTTACACATCAGCGATTCACACACTGTGGAACTGCAACCTGCAGCCTTCAAGAGGKCAGTTCCAGACTGCATTTGCTGCTGGGACGCCCCGAGGGGCTGCTCGTGGTGCCTCGCCAAGGGGAGGAGGTCCCGTCCGCAGGTGGCAGCCCTTGTGTCCCCAGCCGTTCAGCACAGCGGGAGGAAGGAGCAGGGAAGGCGCTGTGGGCAGCAGCAGAGCACTGCCACACTGCCGGGATGGTGGCACCATGTCCCTGCTGCTGGCCGTGCTCTGCAGGAGGCTGGGGCAGCGAGCGGAGAGCTCTCCATGGTGGCGTCCGTCAGGGGTGCCCAGGCAGCACCTGAGCATCCTGTGTGTTTTAGCTCCTTCCCACAYGGGACCAGCATCCAGCAGCCCCCACCTTGCTCTTCTGGCCCGGGCACCGCAGCCACCTGGTTCTCCCAAGAGACCAGATGGTGAAACTGCACTGAGCATTGGTGGCTTTACCATCCTTCTCCAGTATGGTTCCTGGTGACAGGAGAAGGAATAGCTTATTTTCCCTTCAAGAGTATTCCTGAACTTAAAAGCAAGACCCTTGTTTTCCAAATCTTGCTGCCTTGCAGCTGCCACCGTGGCCTGGGTCACAGCATGGGTTGGGTGTGAGGTGAGGTCGGAGGAAAGTCACTTGCTGCATTTGAAGTAACAAAGGTTGGCTTTTACTTCTGTTGTAATTAGTTTTGTTTGATCCAATTGTTCTTCCTCCTGTCTGTAAAGCGTTTATGGGATCACTGGTACCTGAAGGACAAGCCCCAGAGCTGGCACAGCCCAAAGGGGGAGGACTGTGGTGCCCAGTGGACTTGAGGGCTCAGATCTTGCAGCTCTGTGGCCATATGAGGCAGCACCCAAAGCATCACCCGCTCCTCAACAGCTCTGCGAACTCTGTGCACCGCTGTGTCGTGCACAGAGCACGTGTCGCTTCAAGGTGGACTTTGAGTCTCTCCAGGTCATGCGACTTCCTCTTTATCTCACATCTACCAGGAAAACACAACTGAAATAGCTGTAATCAGGGCTGCTGCTCTATCTCGCATCCATCAGCTCGTCCTTCATTTCCATGGTGGTCTTGCTCCACCTGCAGAGCTCAGGAGTCCGTGTCACGAGGAAGGCCACCTTGGGGTTGACGCAGTCTGCAAAGGGGGTGCTCGGTGCCTCTACCTGGGCAAGGTCCTGGCGCGTCGTGGCCCCCTTGGGCCGAGCCGAGCCCTCGCTGTCGGTGCGCGCGTTCCCCACGACACGTGGTGGCCTCACGCCCGTCTCCATCACCGTGTCTGAGCGGACACGCTTGCGGAGCACGTACGTGTTGTTCTTTCCAGCCTCAAGTGAAAAGAGCACAAGCTGAGAGCTGCAGCGAAGGAGGGAGCCCAGAACTGGGTGTCCAGTCGTGCTGCTCGCGTGAGCTGGCTGTCGCTGCTCGCTGTCACTCTGTACATTCACACCCGCTGCCACGTGTGGCCGTGAGCAAGCAGGGTGAGCCAAGCTGTAAACATGAACAGAAAGTGGCCAGTTTTCTACCCCAAAAGCCTGCTGCATGGCTGAGGTGGGTTGCAAAGTGTGGAGTGTCACTCGGGTGACACGAGAGCCACATGGTGCTCAGTGCCTGTGTCTCCGCTGGCCTCAGCAGCGTTTCATGGTGCTCAGCTSCGTGCCTGTGGGACCGTGCACAACTCTTCCAAAGTGCAGAGCCCCACGTGAAGGCTGCTCTTCACCAGCCAAAGGGTTGGTTAAAAGCTCATGGGCAGGAAGATCCGGCTGGGAATTGCCGGGATCCYGGTGGCAGTGGCTCGGTGCCAGCACAGGGAGGTTGGTGCTCGGCGAGCGGCAGAGCTTCCATGATTCCCAGTATCTGGATCTTACCCTCTGCATAACAGACCTGTATGCTGGGAAAATGGCTCGGTCAAGATGGTTTAAGACTGCTGTTATCAAAGACAGAGGCTAATGAAGGAGTAATTATTTCCCCTGAGCACATACACAAGCAACACTTCATTAAAAATTACATTTTCCGTCTAGGAAAATGTCACTCGGGATATTGCTTCCTGACACAAAATGCAGGAGTGGGAGATGCTGTAGCAGGGAGAGCTCTTGAGTAGGAGCTGGCTGCGACGGAGACAGGAAATGGCCTGCAGTGGACATTGCTAAGCATGGATGAGAATATGACCAAAGGTTGTTTCTCATATTAGTTTGGCTCTCTTGSATAAAAGCTGCGGGAGGCTGGGTGAAAATGCACTCTAGGGATCTTGCAATATCTACTCTGAGTGTGGGTTTATGGTAGAAGTAAATAAATAAGTCTGGGCAGTTGAATTAAAAAGTCAAATGATCACAAATCTGGTGGCTTTTGCAAGGATTTGGCAGAAGAAATAAATGACCTTAAGTGATCGGGACAAAGACCTGGCCTGCGTTCCTGGCCTGTGTGTTTATAACAATGTGCTCTCTGTCTGTGGGAAAAACATCATTAATTCAGCTGGAGACTTTTTTTAAAATTGCTGAAGACGATATTACTGGATGTGCCCCCCTAAAATAAGGGACAACTCGGAAGCTTAAAGCATTATCAAGTCAGTTTATTGTAAGACCTTAAGCAAGAGCGAGRTTTCTTTTCTCCCTTTCCTATTCCAGGTAGAGTTGCTCAGGTAGAATAAGGAAGTAATGCRGCAATGGCACAGCCAGGGACATTATGTTTGCTTATTAAACAGTATTAGTACCATTAATACCATTGCCACCCTGGCTGGGATTGAAGGTGTTAATCTTGCTTTTCAGGTGATCCGTTCTGCTGCTGACTGGTCGGCTGGCATTAAATACCATGAAGAATCCATCCACAACGCGTACATCAGCGTGATAAAAAACAGCAAGCACTACATATATATAGAAGTGAGTAGATACGAGCGAAAGCCCTGGCACCCTGAACGTGTCTTGCGGCCATCAGGAGTGTGGTTCTTTTCCTTACGGTTTGGGGGTACCTTTCTATGACTGCCGAGGCKTGGATATTAGTACAGAATCTATTCTGAGTCTCGGAGATGGTTTCCCCGTGGGTGGAGACCACGTCAGTGGTCCTGGGAGCAGGATGGGGTCATCTTGTGATGAGCTTATGACCATGAGGTGGAAAAAAGTTGGCCTCCCTTTTATGATTCTCTTGCCAGACTTGCCAGCGACTTCCACCACTTGCGCAGTGGTCGTCTGGTCCCTTGATGGCTTTGCTGTGCCCCCCAGGCATGCCCCAACCCACGGGTGTTTATTTAATAAAGAATATTTCCTTGCCTGGATGAAACACAAACRCATATTTAATTAAAAAAATAGCATCCATTCAAATGACACAGAGCACAGCCATCTTTAGTTGTTCTTGGCCTGGAACAGAGTAGGGAAATATTTTCTGTTCGTCCCTAGCAATGTCTGACAGAAGCTTTGYTTGCTTTTCCTGCAGAACCAGTTTTTTATTAGCTGTGCTGATGACAAAGTTGTCTGGAACAAGATAGGAGATGCAATTGCTCAGAGGATTCTTAAAGCTCACAGGTAACCTATTGTTATCGAGGCAAAGAGASACTTCCAGGTGCATTTATGGAACGTGGGTTAAAATAGCACCTCAGCAGACACAACTGTACAATTGTTTCTCCATCGCAGCCCCGGTGTGATGGGAATTGTGCTCCCTTTGCAGCACTGAGATTCTGCAGTGGTTTCTTTGCAGCCAGGAAGTGGTTTTCCAGACATACCCTGATGCAAATGTAATTTCTAACTATGCAGATTGTTGGCAAAATGAGCCTTTTATTCTCTGATTGAAACACACTGTTGTTCCATAGGCAGCCAGTCTTGAACTGAAGAGTAAAGCAAGCTGATGCTGAGATGGTTGAACTGGAATATCCAGGTTGTTTAACTGGCTGCACTGCAGGCTGCTTTAAAGCAGGTGAAGCAAACACATTTTGGAGTTTGATTTCAGGGTTCAGTCATTCCTGTTTGCTGTTCTGATAAGTGCAGGGGGATATTTCCAGCCTCCGGACAGTGCAAGGCAACTGTAGTTAGTTCTGTAGATGGATCAAACCCACATGTTCTGGACATTACTTTCCCTTGAGAATGCCGCGTGTTAACATTAATATCACAAGTTGTGGCTTGTTCTCCCTTTGATCCTGGACAGCTTTACGTAGGGTGGCTTTTCTGGAATCAATCTTTAAAATACATATACATCATATTTGAAACCTCCACYTATGTCTTGCTGGGCAGATGTACAGAAAACTTTGTAAACTTCYGTCTTTCCTTTCTCTTGCACTTTTTCACTGTGCCTGAGTAAGTTTCTTGCAATGCTTTTCCGTATTGTAGGTGGCCAGAGCTACGCGGGAGGTGCTGAGAAGGTAGAGCTCCCTGGAGCCACACAGATTTCCCTCTCTTTGGCACTCGAGCTTCGAAATTCCAGCTTGTGTTAAAGAGAGCAGACTGTGRCAGACAGTAGCCCGTGCCTCACAGACCCAGCGCTGCAGGTGCTATCTGCAAAGCCTGTCCTGAGACGGGCCGTGTTCAGATAAGCACCTTGGAACAGGGAGAGCAGGGCTCTTATCTGCTGTGCGCTGAGCAGCAGGGCAGAGTATCAGGGTGGAGTCACTTTGGCTTGTGACCCATGGGCAGCACTGCGTGGCACAAATACCTGAAATAGGCTGAGGATGAAAAAGYAGGGAGGACTTTCTCACCTGGGGTGAATCAGGAGTCGTTCCAAGGCTGCAAAAGGTGCTAAGTGACTTAAAAGCAGCGCAGTGTGATTAGGTGTTGTGAGGGTGATGTGGCATGCACCAAGAGCAGGTGCATCTGACCCCACRTGGTTGAGGTGCAGTAGCCGAGCAGTCGGCAATGGCTGTTCTTTTTAGTAGAAAAAAAAAATACAGTATTTAATACCTATATTTAATTAGTTTAAAAAATATTGGGCTATTTCTTGTAGGTGCTTCTGGTGGTGGTTCTTTTACATAATACAAGTAGGCTTTGTTTCAGAGTCTTTCCCACATCCCTCTGCTGTCGTGTAGGGGTGAGATTTAAGTGATTCCCAAAGTCTGCTGTCACATTAACTTTGTTAGTCTGTAATGCAGCTATAAATAAACATTGATTCAAACTGAATGAATACAGGTCTTCAGTATCTTACTCCCAGATCAGGTGAGACACCCTTCTCCACAAATCCCATGCTCTTAAGAAAAGACACAAATTTTGCAAGGAAGAAGTTTAAGAAAAAAGGCAGACTGGCTCCTCTCAACCTGAATGCTAAGCAGTTTTGTCCTTATTAAACTGTGTTTGCCATCTAGTGGCAGCACCAGTAAGTGACGTTTCATCCTCCAGCGTGTGGTAATGGGGACTGCAAGCACCTGGAGGCATCTGGGGAACTGAAGAAGAGCAGAAGCAGTTTGGCCTTTCAGTCACCAGGGAAAACACTTCCATGGGCTCCGAGAAAGGCCCGAACTGCACAGTGATCCAAGCTGCCTTCGTGCAGAACTGGCTCGCAGTTATGGTGGAGTCTGGACTGGGGAAACAAAGAAGAAACGGAGTTTTGCAGGTTGTTAGACAGGAATCAGCTATTTCATAGTTGRCCTTTCCAACCGGTCAGTGTTTTGCTGGTGTCCTCAGGGTATTCTTCCAGTGTTTCTGATTTCTAAAGGCCAGGACGTAGAAGGGACACAGGGCCAGACCTTGGTGCCCTGCCTGCAGTGACGCTAAGGAAAATGCTTAAAGCAAAAGGACTCATTAGAGGTGCTGAGTACATTCAGTACATTCCATGCTTTGCTGCTGTAAAATCTGTGTAGTAGCCAGAGACCAGGCCAGGCAGCGTGGAGGAACCGAAGCCGCTGCGATTCTGCCTTACCCAAACACACACAGTTTGCAGGCTAATATCCCCCCCTRTTTTTTTAGGGAAAACAAACGTTTCCGCGTGTATGTGGTGATCCCGCTGCTGCCCGGCTTTGAAGGGGACATCTCGACGGGCGGCGGGAACGCGCTGCAGGCCATCATGCACTTCAACTACAGGTGAGACGCGCCGGGACAGCGGGCAGGTCACCCTGTCCCAGCCCCCCGTGGGGCTGCCGACGGGCCGAGGCGCCTGATGCAATCGTCATATTCTGAGTTGTCCTGGGGAGCACGTAACACCTGGAAAAGGGAGAAAACTGTTTATGGAGCTTTCACTTGGCACTTGAACTTGCTTATTGGCTGCCCTTATAATTTGTATGTTGCTGTATTGATTTTGCAGCRGTGACCTTAACCTGGGGTCGTGTTTTTGAGCTGCCGTTGAGACCTCCAGCTCCCCTTTAAGCAAATTCAGATGATGCACAGGGCCTTTTCCTGGGATGCAGCAGTGGAATTGTTCAAATCAGGAGGATTTGTCGTGACGGTTTTATGATCGTTATTAACAGCACAAATCCATGGCTCTGTTTTTCTGGCTTTTGGGCACAGCAGCAGAAAATAGACAGGGATCGTGGCAGTTTCAATAAATTTCTCTTTTTAGGAAACTATAGCCRAACTGGAGGACTCTAGTTGGTCAGACCTAGTGCCCTCTGGTGGCAAATGTTAAATAGACACAGGGAGAAAATTCCCGTGCCCCGCTGTGACGTCCCAGTCCTTCTCACCTCTGTGGCCTTAGGCAAAAGCGCCAATTCCTGATTCAGTAGCTGCTCCCTGTATGTAGCATAAAGCTGCAAAATATGTTTTCCTTTCCTTATTGCCATGACATTTCCCTGCCATTCAGCGTAACTGTTCTGTGCTGGAAGCRGAACCTGTCCCGTGCTTCTTCCCGGTGGTTTCAGTCGGGCTGTGACAACGTGGCCCTTTGCAGTGCCAAGGAGTCCCGCCCGTCCCAAAGCCCTGTCAGTGCTCGGTGGGAGCGCTGAGGCCGCTGGGGTCATTAGCTCCAGAAACTCCCTCTTGCTCCGTAAGGCAGAAACACTCAGTTTTATCTCAGAATTTGCATTTCAGGGACAGGGCAGAGGTGCCCGGGAACCCYGTGGCGGTGCAGGGGCGAGAGGCAGGATGGCCACAGGCAACGTGGCTCACTCCACAGCAGACCTCTGCTTCCCATGAAAGCAGCTCAAACCTCAGCAGCCCCATTGGTAACAGCTTGTTGTCCTGGCTGTTTGCTTTAGAAAAAGGTGCTTTCCCCCCGTAAGTTGGGTGTTGGTCTCTCCAGAAAGGATGTGGTCTCTCCAGAAAAGAGCAATTCTTACATGCCATCATATATTTCCTTTCCAAAAGGAAAAATATTTGCCCTGGAAGTTCTGCTTATATGGGATATGGAAAATGCATCCAGGTTTGTGTTTCTCCTCAGTGGGTGAGTTCTGTTTCAGCATGTGTCACTGCTTGGAGTCACTGGTGTTGGTAACAGCTACCTACCTTCTTTACAGGACCATGTGCAGAGGAGAACATTCAATTCTGGGCCAGCTGAAGGCAGAGGGTAAGAGCTTTAGACATGTCTTGTTTCATGTGTTTAGTCTTGGGACACTGCTCAATAGATGGATCTATACAATATCAATCAGATTGGCCAAGGGCAGGACTATATGAAGTGCAATAGGCAGTGTTGCAGCTGTGGCATCTCCAAAAGAGGGGGAGAGACTCACCAAAAGCATCTCTGCTTCAAACAAAACCTAATTAGGCAGCAAGGCCCTCTCTGCAGCTCCTGTCTGGACACAACTTGTGTTGTGTGTTTGTTCTTAGCTTGTATTCATTGTAGCAGATGCATTTCARGTTTTCGAATGAGGCATCACACCGGTGCGCATCAGTGTCTGTTACAGACTGGCACATCTGCGAGCAAACTCTGCCTCTGTCGTTAGTCCACGGCTGAGGTTTATTAGGACGTGCGAGCCCTGGCTGGTGTCCAGACTTGTTTCTGGATGCAGCCTGGATCTGGAAGAGGGAAGGCCCCGAGGGAAGGAGCTCGGAGCAGCTGCAGCTGCTCAGGTTCACGCTGTGTCCTGACCTGGGCTGCGCTCCTGAGTTGCTGCAGGCCCTCAGACCCCGTCCCAGGAAACCCGCTCGGCCTGGAGCTCTGCCCAGGGAACAGCCCTCCTCGTCACAGCGCAGGTTATCGAGCTCTTCCTCATGAGGAGAGCGGCCTCCCGAGCGTGCTCTGATTTCTGTCTGTGAAAAACCTGTCTCGTAAATGTAAGAGGTGAACATAATGCCTCATCARGTCTAGTTTTTTGTATAAATCTCAGCTGCAGATAATTCACATCAGGGCGTATTTTCCAAATTGTGCATAGACAAAACACCTGCCAAAGGGCTTCTCTGTGCAAAACCTGCAGAACAACAATCATATTGGCCAGTTATTTTCAGATGTTCATAGCAATGGTGACTACTTGTGTGCTGCATAATGGAGAGATCTAGGTCATTTTTCTACCAAGGTGAAGTATCTGAGCAGTCAGTGGATCAGAGAGCACAGAGAGCTCACAGGCATTTTTAAAGCCTATTTCTGAAGAGACATATTTCTATTATCTGTTTCTTAAAAAAAAGATGTTAAAAATAAACTCTGTTATTCATACTGGGCTTTATACAAAGAGAATCTCTTCTCTTTCTTCTTTGCTTCCCCCTTCCTCATCCCAACCCATTTGTTCCCTCTCAATTTTCAGTTGGAGATAAGTGGATAAACTACATATCCTTCTGTGGGCTGCGGACGTATGCAGAGTTGGAAGGAAAACTGGTCACTGAACTCATCTACGTTCACAGCAAACTGCTAATTGCTGATGACGACACTGTCATAATTGGTGAGCGGGGGACTTGCAAGAGAAGTCTGTGCTGTTTGGTCACACCTGAAATATTCCCTTAGCCTCCCTGGCATGTTCCTTGCTGTGTTGTAATTTCTTCCTTGTGAAATGCTTTGCAATTAAAAAGGAAACAAACTCATGGGTTAATGAAGAGGTAGGCAGGAGGGARAAAGTGATTTGGAGGTCGGTCATTCACTTTTTTAGTTGCTTTAGTTAAGAGATTCCCAGTGGAGGGAGTTTTGTCCGTCTGTCTTGTATCAAACTCTGCTGTAGCAGTAAAACTTGTGAGACTTGTCATCTGTTCCTTAAGGAACAGAACGTGCCGTAAAATTTGGAAGCTTTGGACGACGTGTCATTTATCAGYGCCATCCCCTAAGAATGGGGAAATATGTTGTAACGAGTAATAGGGAGTTTTGATTCTGACTCTGTTACCACATTTATTGTGAGATGATAAAGCAAAAAGAGCATGAGCTCTGAGTTACAGTTAGAAAGCAGAATTTGAGCCTGTTTCTGTAAAGAAACCCTTTTTGATCTGTTATATCAGTGCAAACTTCGCCAAAGAAAAATTTAATGCTAAATTTTGCAAGAATCAAAATATTTCCCATCTTAAAGAAGCAACCTGGCTCGTGGTCTCAGAAACCCTGCGTTCAACACTGGGATACTTTTCCCCTGGGTTGTCCTCTCRGGGCTCAGACCGTGTCTGTACCGTGCAGACCAGCGAGACAGGGGTGGCTTTTTGCAGCAGGAGTGGTAGTGCTRGAACTGCCGAGGCCCGGGCCTGCTCCCTGGGAAGGAGCTAGCACGTGGGTTGGATCCGTTCCCACCTCAGCACTTCACCCGGGAAGGAGACTGACTGTGTGAGTGGAAAGCAGCAGCTCCACTGCCGCGCCGGAGGGCCTGCCGTGTGCAGAGAGGGGACACTGGAGAATTCCCACTTCTCCCTCCTCCTGTGGAGGGTCTCTGGTGGTACTGGCAGCTCTGGGTGTTACCCACAGCCAGAACCTGCTTTGGCCCTGCCTTGCTACAGGGTAGGTGGAAGTGACATTTTTCCTCCCCCTTCCTAAAACCTCCTAGTCTCCAAATACTAATGACACATTTTCCCCTGTGATGTTAGAAGCGATGGAGAGGTTGTACCCACAGAGCCTGTCCTGCTCCCTTATCTTATTATCCAAGCCGAATGCTTGGACAGGAGTTAAGACCCTTGAATGCTGTGATAACCTCCAGCAAAAGCTCCTGGGAAGTTACAGAGAAATTAAAACTTCTTAAGATGGTGACATTGGCTTGACTGAAACCTCGTCTCGAGCAACGCTCGGGAGGAGTGTTCTGCTGTCAGCCTAGTGCTGGCTCTCCTGGAGCCTGGTTTCCTCCTGTGAGGAGGCGCCTCGGGACGGCTCTTGCCTGGGGGCTGCCATGGCCCCTGCTGCTGAGGTTAATGTGGTTGCTTTCCGTGCTTCCCTCATTCCCAAGGCTCAGCCAACATCAACGACCGCAGCATGCTGGGCAAGCGGGACAGCGAGATGGCCATCATCGTGCAGGACACGGACACCGTCCCCTCCGTCATGGACGGCGAGCACTACAGCGCCGGGAGGTTCGCGCAGTCCCTCCGGCTCCGGTGCTTCAGGTAGGGACAGTGGCCATCCTGGAAGAKGCAGGAAGAGACAGGGAAAGACAGGGAAGGTGCAGGGAGAAGCAGGGAGGGAGAAKCAGGGAGGGCCAGGCAGAAGCAGGCCCGATTTACGCCTGGTGAAAGGGGTCAAAGCCATTAAAGCCAATGGAGCTTCGGACACTTACTCAGATTTAGCTTTGCTTGGCCTCGATTTAGCTGRGCGAGTTTTAGTGCTGCCTCCTCGCGCGTTCCTCAGCTCAGCAATGGTTTGGCTCACAAATCGTTTTCCTCAAGCATTTAACGAGGACAGCTCATAAACAAGACAGTGATATTTTGTCTCTGGACCCTCTTTCCACACTCTCTCAATTTTGGGTGGCAATGTCTCTCTTTTTAATGGGAGTTCCTCCACTCAGAGCAACCATCTGGCCCACAACACAGCCATTTTTTCATTAAGACCTTTTTCTCCCCCTCCCATTTCCCATCTGGACAGTTATTAAACAGAAAGAAAAGAGAAAATAAAAYAAGGCAGCAGCGAGGCTGACACACCAGGGTAGCAGGCGCAGGGAGGACATTCTCAGAGCACCCTGGGCTGGGCAGTGGCAATTTGCAACGAATTTTTCTCTGCCCTGGTATTTCAAGGTGTTGAACCCACAGGGCACATACTCAGCTCTCCTGGCAATGGTTTCCTCCTACTTCAAATAGACAGATTTAATCCTGCCCACTGTTCGCCTTTGGAAAACCTGCTGTCCTCTGCAGGATAGCTTTTCCATCCCTGGTGGGCACTTGCATCTGCACATGACCCAGTACAGAAAGGCTGGAAACTTCTAGGCACTATTGCAAACAAGTGACAATAAAAGTAATAACGCAGCCCCTCAGTTTTAGCCTCAACTTCAAGGTGTTTTTGAGGTAAGGTAATTTAGTAGCTGCCTCTGGCATCCTCTTATCAGCTGCTCGTTTTCCTTCTGGAGTGGAAGATGAGAAAAACATTTCCACTCTCTCGGCTTCTCTCAGCACAAATTCTTTGCTGTTCTRTTTTCAGGGTTGTACTTGGAGCCTCGGATGTCAATTCAGACCACCAGGACCCCGTCTGTGACAAGTTCTTCAAGGAGGTGTGGATTGCAACAGCAGCCCGCAACGCCACCATCTTCGATAAGGTGACTCTTAGGGCTCCTTTTCCCAGGCTCCTTCCAGCTTCCTTGTTCTCAAGAGATGTAAATGGCAGAAGCAGCAACTTGTGTTTGGGGAAGAGGGGACAGGGAAGGAAAGTGAGTTCAGCTCCTAGAGCTGCTCAGGGATGTTTTGGTGGAACATCTAGTTTCAGTGATGTGTACGAGTTGCAAACAAGAAACTGCAGCTTGCGTGTCCTCAAATAATGGTGACTGCCCAAGGAGGAGCAGTTCTGATTTCTCCTTTCCTTGCATCAGCTGTAGCTCCAGTGAATCACTCCTGCTTTACTTCTTGCAGTTGGCCACAGTGTAAATGGAGCTGAAATAAATGAGATGCTCTGTTTTCCAGTGATCTTTTTTGAAGTTATCAGGAAAACCTCTGGAGTTGGCCATCTTCGTGCTCTACCTGTATGATGGATCTGTGCATATTTTCTCCTTCCCCGTTCTCCAGACCATTCATTGAGTCAATTCCACCCAGAGGCTTATTTGTATTATTTGTATTATTTGTATTATTTGTATTATTTGTATTATTTGTATTATTTGTATTATTTGTATTATTTGTATTATTTGTACTATAGTCTGAGGTTCTTCTTTGGGACTCAGTATTGCAGGATTTCCTCTGCACTCACACATCGCCTCTTCCTTCTGTTTTCATCAGGTTTTCCGATGCCTTCCCAGTGACCAGGTGAATAACTTAGCCCAACTGCGTGATTTCATCAACAAACCAAAACTAGCAAGTGATGATCCTGTGAAAGCAGCAGAAGAGTTGAAGAAGATTCGTGGCTTTCTAGTACAATTCCCCTTCCGTTTTCTGGAGGAGGAATACCTGCTRCCTTCTGTTGGAACAAAAGAATCCATGGTACCAATGGAGGTTTGGACTTAAGGAGATTGGGACTGCTTCCTATTTTAAACTCTAGTTCTCAAAAGACAAGTTTATGAACAGTATAGGATTTCAGAAAGCTTTTAATTTTTTGCAAAGGGAGGCAAAAAAGAAAGGTCTCTGCCAAACTAACGTGCCTTTCATAGGGGTTTTGGTGGAGGAACTTCAAGCAAAATGACACTAGCAAAGGAGAGGATCAAAAAGACTTGGAAATTATGACAGATGAGAAGTTTATTCTCTGAAGAAATTACTGCTTTAGACAATTTCTAAGCACCTAAAGGATTGAGGCTGCTTCCTAGGAAAGGAAACAAATCCTAATAGATATTAGTACTGCTGCCAGTGTGGCTGCCACGTCCAAGTGGTTGTGCTGTGGCCCCGCAGGAGCTGCGGGATGCATTTGCTTTCTGGAGCTTTCAGGTACCAGTGTGTTCACCTGCTGCAGCCCCTCGTCTCATCCCTGTTGCTGTTTTGCAGGAACCTCTCTCAGAGCTCGGGTGGTGTTGGGAAGCTCTGCTTGACGCTGTCCCAGGCATTCCTGTGATCACGGCTTGCCAAGGCTGGATGTTTCACTGCTTTTTGAGGAACAGACTAACAATCAGAATCAGTGTTTTTGGTCTCTTTTCCCCTCTCGGCAGGGGGACATGTTTTTACTACAGCTAGAGCGATCAGCAATCYTCACCAGACGCAGCATGGTGCTCTGTACATCTTAGCAAAGTGCAGCCTCCGTGGAGCTCAACGTGTTGGAAATCAGGAGTTCTCTGGCTTTCCCAGGCATGCAGCACGTCAGTTTGTTTAAGCTGCAGGAAGGCTTTCTCCAAGAGAGAATCCAGTTTCAGGCTGAAGCCTCCGATCTTCCTCGYGGGAGGGAAGTGAGGTGCTGTGTGGGACAGGGAGCTATCAATAACTATCCTGGCCATGTTCAGTCTGTGCTTTGGATCCTTTGCCGTCACATTTATATTGCTTTAAATAATAGACTTTCCTGTCCATTCCCTTTTCTCCCTATTTGAAAGAAGGGAGAGCTGAGATGTCAGGCCAGCTGTGCTCAGACCAGGTTCACATCTTTTTTTTCTCCTCGTTTTTCCCCTTYGCAGACTGGGTGAGTGCCGGGGAACGGGGGGAGCTTGTCTCTCTGATCTGCTTTCTAACGAGACAGGCCACAGTCGGTCACGCAGAACAAGTCTTCCAAGGGCAGGTGAAACTTAACACATTCAGCCCTGTCTTGCATCTCCATACAGCAGCTCCCAAGGCCAGTTTTGCACCTCGCTGGGTAGCCAAGGACTCGGGCATTTCTCCCTCCTYGGGCCACGCTCTGCTGCCCCCGGCCAGCTCCTTGTCCCAGCTCTGGACGCTGTCCTGCGTGTCCCAGTTTTGCGTCCTCCCTGTGTCCCAGGTGTCCACAGTGGAGCTGGGGGCCCCACCAGYGGGCAGAGCGTCCCGTCCAACACCCGAAGGAGAAAATTCCTAACRCAGGAGCCTCATTGTGAAAGTGGGAACCCAAACTCCTCTGCTGCGAGGGGGATCCCTTCACCAGCTCCACTGCCGATGTGCTCCTTAACCCGTGTTCTCAAAGTGCCCCAGGCGCTGTAGTCAGACCAGATGAACTTACATTTCCAGTAGTTTTTTAAAAAGTGTTCATAGGGAAGTTTCTTTTTTCCTTTGTTTGAGCTTCCAGCAGTCTTTTAACTGGAAAAGAACCACACTATTCCTCAAGGTAGCCCTAGAATATGTCCAGTACCATCTCTTACCCTTTAGCTGATTGTCTTCTGCATCTTGCATGCAAATAGAGTGATTTTGTAGGCAGTGGTCTCTGGGGGAGTAACAAACACACACGGACACACTCCCCAGGGCACCGAGGTGTCACCCAGCTCCACGATTCCTGCTGTTTGATCCTCATGTTTTATAGGTGCAGTTAGGAATAAGGCTCCTTTGTACACGGCGAAGCTGTGGGCTGCCTGGAGGAGCCTGCGCTGCGTTCTCGCTGCTAACCTGGGTTGCCCCAGGGGCCGAGGCCTTTGGCTGCTGCGCTGTAAATAGCTCAGTGWTTCCCCAGTTACTCCCCTTATCAAAGTGACCCGCTGCGGGGCGCGAGCTGCACGCCGTGCCCGCGCTTCCAGTCAGGAGGAGGTCAAAGGCGTCCTACTATTTCACACTAGCGCTGGCTAGCCTGGAGTTTCATCTCTGGGTAGGTTTTTAGCTCTTCCAGTTTGAACAGTGCTGCTAACTTGAAACAATTACCGCCCCTCGGAGTCYGCCTGAGGCAGGTAGGTCTGTGCTCATCCTCGGAAAGGGAGCGCTCGGCCGCATCCTTAAGAAGCCTGTGGATTTTGTTGTCTTCTAAGTGCTCTTACCTGCCCCRTGCTGCCATCATCCAACCATCCGTGTGTTGTCCCTTGAGGTGGCGTGGGGGACTCGGCATCCTGGGGCGCTACCCCCCTCTCCCGGACTGCTCTCGGAGAAGCTTCCYGAGTCCATCCCAGGTGCCCTGGAGCTGGAGGGCCATGGAGCTGAGATTTGCCTTAGGGAAAGCTGTGCGGGTATCAAAGGAGGGCACGGCTGCCACCTCYGAGCGCCCAGCCCGTCTTGGGCTCTCGGGGATCGCTGGCCAACTGCAGTTCTCTTTCTTATATTAAGAAGCCAGTGAGCAGGGTGAGGTTCAGCACCGCGGGAGAATTCAGTGTTATCCCTGAGCAATCCCCGCTCAGTCCCACAGCGCTTTGACTCACGATAGGTTCCCCAGGCTGCAGGGGAGTCGCTTGCAGATGCACCGGCTGCAGCCAGCGATGAGCGTTGGGCACCAGCCGGCCCTGAGGCGGCTCTTCCTCGTGGAATTTACTGGTTAGGACTGCAAGAAATGAGAGGAAATTCTCAAAGGCTCTACCTTCTTTTCTTGTATTTCAACCTGAATTTAATTTTTTTTTAATGTATTCCTCAATAGATACCACTCACACTCCTTACCACATCTTTATATATTTTTAAATATTGTGATATTTTAATATATATATTTTGTTGTATAGAGGTTTGATTGGATAATTCTTTTAGCRTGGAATTGGTGCATGGTTTTAACAGCACAAGAGGGATAAAATGAGATGATATTTCAGACCTTTGCAGTGGGTGATGTGTAGAAGAAACACCCTTGAGCTGCCGGCAGATGAAGCGCCCCTGGTCCCTCCACTTGCTCCACTTTCACCCTCCACAGGTGAAAGGGGCTCGTCCCCAGCAAGCCGCTGCCTTTGTCATCCTCGGGAGGGCTGTTTCAGCCAAGGCAAACGCGTGAAGGTCGGCACTGGTGTTTGCTGGCGGCCCCGCTTGATGGGAGATGGGCTGGGTGGAAGCCCAAACACTCTCCATTTGTTTTAATTGAGTTTGAGAACGTGACTTCACAGTCCTGGTGCTGTCCCCGGCGGGGACCTCGGCTTTGGCTTAGGTGGGAGCCTGTGGTATTAATTCCTGGCACCTTTACTCCTGCCGAGGGCGCCTCCACGCACAATCAGCCCCCGTCTCGGCTTGCTGCTGTGCTTTCAGTGTCATAAACCCCGCTGTGCAGTTGTGGTGAGCACAGCRTGGGCTGTGTGACCGAGACAGAAGCTGCACTTGCGGCTGCAGGGAGGAACGTCCGAACGGGCCTYGGGAGGAGCAGTTTCCACGTGGAAGATGCCAAACGGGGTCAAGGCAAACCGAGGGGCAAGCTGCGAGTGGACTCCTCAGTGCAACCATCCTCTTTGGGTCCTTTATTACTGTTATTATTCCTTTATTTTTGTCCTCGTTTACTATTGTATTTTAAAGTCTTGGTGATTATTCCATTTTCAGCCTCCTGGTGTGTTTTGCTAAAATCCCACCGGTGTAAATAATTCCAACCTGCCTCCTTCCTGACCCTGAGGAAAGGAGAGGAAACAGAGTCAGGCCTCTCAGTTCTGGGTGTTTCTGTGACTCGTGTGTCTGGCCAAACTCCACCGAACCGAGCGCTTCGATCCCAACGTCGCTCCCGCGGCGCGAGCGTCGATCCCGACTATTCCTTCTGTGAAGGCTGCTGGACTGGAGCGTTTGGTCCCCGGGTTCTGCTGGTCGCTGCTTCCCTTCCCACTCCGTTTGTATTTGGTAAACGAATGTGCATTAACGGACTGAAAATACAAGTGAACGTCGTGTGTCAATGCTCTTGGGTTTGGTCTCGTTTCTCCTTGGTTTGGGAACAACCGCAGGCCACATTCCGACCGCGTGAGGGGAGAAAAGCTGGAGTAGGGATAAAAAGGGCTGGATAAAGTTGGGATAGAAAGGGCTGGACCGAATTGCTCAAAGCGTCCRAGGAGAGGAGAGCCTCAAGGAAAACATTGCAGAAGGGAAGGCTGAGCTAAATAAATGGATGGAGGGAATTGCAGCCCTCTGTGCTGCTCCCGGTAAGGATGCGTCCCCTTCCTGGGCAGGCCGGGCTGGGATGGAGAGCGGGAGCTGCTCCCGCTCCTGCCCTTTCTCATACCTGTAGGCGAGGGGCTGCTGCTGTCGGGCACAGCTTCATCCCACCCATCACCCCGCTAAAAACATGTTAAAAACACACGTAACGTTGGGAGTGTGAGCCCGGACACCGGCTGCGCGGCGAGGCCCGAGTGCCGTTAGCCAGACCCGCACCGCGGCCTCGGCCAGTGCCGCCTTCCTGCCGGCGCGAGGTACTCATTCCTGTCCGYGATCCTCGCAGAGGGGGAAAGTAGGAAATAAAGAGCCTCGGGAGAAAGGCTTAAGGGCCCACGGACAAGCAGCTASAGCCACTGCCCCAGCGCAGCTTCCCTTTGTGCTCTCCGAGCGCGTTTCCGAAGCGCTGCTCTGGGCGAGTTTTCATGGCCTCAAATTCGCAGCAGCACCAYGAGCAAAACGCTCATTTATTTATTTTTACTATTTCTACTGGAAGAATCGAAAGTGACACTTGCAAAATTGGTTGCACCGCACTGATTGATTACTCAGAATATTTAGCTCCAAATGATTGTGGCAAGAATTTATACCGAGGCGCATGTCTGGGATGCAAATTAATTTGGAGAAACGAGCAGGAGGTAAAAAAATGCATGTTTTTTAAAGAAGGAAAMTGCGAGGGAAATTGTTTATGGCCAAGTTCAATGACAAGTAATCTTTCCGCGTTCAGCCTGCTCTCCATAATTAACCAGTGTGTGAGTTGCTGCCTGAGGAGAAGGGAGACATGAGGGCTTGAACCTGCCYGGGAAGCCATGGAGAGAGGAACATCAAGGCAGCCGAATCCCCTTGGGAAGGAGGGCCGGGTGCCGCTTTCCTCTAGAGGGTGCCAGGGGCTCGAGGCGCCCGGGAGCTGCAGCMGCTGCGCCGACATCCCTGCCTGCCTGGGCTGTTGGACCAACAATTTCGGATGCCTACAAGTTGTACTTTTGTTTGCTTTTCATTATTTTTAATGGGTAATTTTACTTTATCTGAGTGCTGGCATTAACTCCAGCACTGCAGGGCTGCTGCTGCCGTGCTGTGGGACGAGGCGCTGCGGCTCAGCGGGATCCATCCCCACGGACACCGGCCCCGTCCCAGGGCTGGAGGTTTCGCTCCCGACTTGCAGCAGGGCAGAGTTGCGGTTGGCTCCTGCTCCTGGGGACTAGCGGGAATCACTGGAAGCTCTGGCTGCAAGGAGAGGGGTCTTAGCAGTATCTAATCCAGGGAATATTTCTTCCCGTTCCCACTGAGCAGCCATCGAATGGACAAAGTGCTGGGAGGCATGAGAGCAAACGACACCATAGCCGGGGCCACGAGTCCCAAAGCAGGAGCCGCAACCCCTGGTCCATTAATTAACTGCTTTATGTGAGTTTGGAAAGTCTCTCCTGTAGGACTTTGAGCCTTTAGGGGATAGAAATTCCATCTCCTTCTGCTCCAACACTGGGGAAATCGCTCCTGGCCACTCCTTTGCAATTTGTTCTTTATCTCCCTCCCTTGCTAAGGCTTTTCCAAGCGCCTCGGGTTTCCTCACGCCAGTTAGTCCCAGCTAATGGTTTTCTTGTTGCAATCACTGTTTGTGAGGCCAGATTGCCGGCTCAGATGTGTCCAAGGATTCCCTCTGAATCACAGGGGAAAAACCCACTTTCTTCTGCTCTCTTAACTGAAGATGGAGTCATTCTCCTAAATATGCAGCCCGTCTTTCACAGACACTCATTTGCAAAGCAATCTAGTTTCCTGCCTGATGTTTTTGTAGTTTCTCAGTTCTCGGAAACCCCATGTTAACACTGAAATCATCTCCTGGTTCAAATAAACCAATTTTATTTTGGTTGGGTATCTCTATACCCTTCCATATATCCCTGAGCTGCACGGCATGTTGACAGCGCTGGATCCTGGATCCATCCAGGATCTCGCTTCATTTTCCAGCTCCTGGTGACTAGTGTGACGTTGCACAGCGAGGCAAACTCTTCCACCTTCTTGAAGTTCTCGCCTCCTGTTACAACCAGTGCCTGTGTTTCAGGACGTTCTTCCTTCCTGTTGTTTGTGGTTTCCTGGGGTTTTTCTTGGTGCCGTGATGTCACCGCCGAGGTATGAGGTCGCTGAGGGGTTAATCCCCCAGCTGTGCTGCGCTGGCAGCTGTGTTAGCTCCGTCAGTCCTCAGCGGGCCGTGGAGAGGAGCTGCTCCCGTGGAGAGGAGCTGTCGCCTGCGTGTGGTGTTGCGGGTATCGGCTGCGATTTGCAGGAGCTACGGACGCCCAGGGCTGCAAGGCGCCTTCTGAGGGGCACGAGCGCCCTGCGGAAGAGCTCCCAGAGCCGGGCCAGAGCCACGCGGCGCCTGCCTGCGGTGCTGAGCTCATCTCTGTGGGCACCCTCATGATGATTCTGGGGTTTTGCAAGATGTAGCATCAGATTTCTCTGAAATTCCCTGCCTGTTTCCTAAGACACCAGTGTCCCACCTTCAGCCGACACCGGCTTCTCTCTTTTTAGGCCCTTTCCCATTATCACAGGAGCTAGAAACTTAACAACAAAAAAAGGATCTAATTTAATGAGTCTGCATTCTCTATTTTAAAAGAATGCCATATATCCATGAAAGCCTGAACAAGTAAAACATTCCTGAGAGAAGCCTCCACRTGAAGGCGAGAGCGGTGGCTCAAACCCTGTCCTGCTGCTCAGACTTAAGCGCTACTTAGATACTGCTTCTTTGGGGCGCATCAAGCACTGCCAGTCGTGCCCYAAACAGCCCCTGCTTCGGTCATTGACTGGGAGTGAGGAAAGCCACGGTATCAGATTGAAGCAAGTTTATTCAGAGGTTTAAGATTTCTTTTCTTTTGCATGTAAAAGGCATTTGACTTTTACGGGCCAAAACAGTTGACTATTCAGCACGTTTCCAAAGGCACGTGGCCTTTGTGGCTCTGCCTCCTTTGAAAAAATAGCMCTTTTCACAAATTATGGTGAAACGACGGTTATTAGAAGTGAGAAACAAGCGTGCCAAGGAGGCTGCGAGCCTGGATCCCCTCCAGGGGATCCTGGTGCCCGTGGGCTTTGTGCATGACGCCTCCTGGCCACCGCTGAAGCCCTCGGAGACCTTCCCTGCTGGCACCTTGGTGCTGTGCAACCCACAGCACTACTTTGGTAGCCCTTTTCCTGAGGAGAGATGTTGGATGGTGGAGCCACCTACGCCCGAGGACAGATTATCATTAAAAAGCAAACCCACCCGTGCCTGAAATGTTTCTTAATTAACCGCCGACAATTTACATCTGACAAAAGACAGAGCCTGTTTCTCTTGTTTGGTTTATCTCTGCTTCATGCCGGATGGGGGTGGCTCCAGGTCAGTTCTTTCCCAGACCCGGGGCTGTCTCTGGTCTAGCAAAGCCAGCCAAGAAAGAAGAAAGAAAGCAAGAATCTAAATACCCGTTGGTTAGGGTAGCTCAGATCCACGCTAATCAGCATTAAAACAGACCACGACGCGAAATAATTTTGATAAAAGGGACTTGAAATCTGAGCAGATGTGTGGAGCCGTGGGGAGGGCTGGAAACCAGATGTGCCTGAGAACAGATCCCGGGAGGACTTCCCTATGCAGCAGGTGGGTGCAGGAAAACGTTCCTGGTGGGAAAGCAGGAACGCTCTTCTTGGAGCTGCTCCATAGATTGTGCCCTCGAGATCTCAGCCAAGGAGGGAGAGGTTCATACTCCTCTGCAAGACCACAGGAGCAGGCCTTGCTGAGGGCAAAACACGGAATTGTCTGGAAACAAGTAATCCACATGTGCTGGTGGAAAAGAGTCAAGCAATAGGACCCAAACATGCTTCCTTGCTTGCTTTGCTTCTTCTCTCTTCAGTCTTCTAGAGACTAATCCCAAGCCCAAAGCACTGGAAGCTCTTGCTCTAACCAGGCAAGGCCTTGTGTGTCATTTAGATGTACTAATCTCAACATTTACCCCCTCAGGATGTGATTAACACCAATGGCACTGTTTGCTTGATTATTCAATTTGGTTATATGCAGAGGTCAAATAAACCGGACAGTTTATCCGTGAGCCAAAGCCCTTTAATGAGAGAGTCAAAAATTCTGACCCTGGTGTCACCAGCCAGCCCTGCCAAGAGCTGAGCTTTGGTTCACGACCCGTGTGCCTGTTGCTCATCAGGGCTCACCAGAGCTGGGACCAAAGCCATCCTGTAGGAATAAAGAGCATTTTAGCACTCATCTGCCTTCCAAACCGGGACGAAAAGGCAAGATCCAACGGGTTGAAGGGCTCCTGGCCCACATGGGAGGTGCAGTCATTAAGCCGCGACTTCGCCTGGAGCTTTGCAGTCAGGCTGAGGATCGGGGCAG